GTATATTCACATCCAGTGCCTGAAATACGTGTTGTCATAGTAGGGAAATCACGATTCGCCAGGTTGCCATGTAAAGTGACGATGCTAGAGCCTGTAGATGCAAAATTAGCTGCTAACATTTGACTTGTAGATCGTATGCAGTAAGAAAAGCTTGAAGAAAGCGAACCAGTTTGCTGCCCTTGCGTCACAATGATCCTTCCTGTACCTGATACACCAGCTGAAGCCGTGCAACGGACACTTGAGTCAGACTCCCATTCTGTATTTTCACATGATGTGCCGGTGACTCTGGAGAAACCGCTTACTGCAAGAGGCGAAAATCCTGCCCCGAAAACCGATACACTTATTGAGCCGGTCGACATTGAATTAGATGTTTTCAAATTGCTACAAGTCAAATCGCTTGAATACGCAATCGAGCCTGATCCGAGACTTACACCAACGGTCACTTTCACTTTCAAGGATTTGGCATAAACTAGGGAAAGTCTACAGGCGATGGAAGTATCTGAAAGCCAACTTGACGCCTCCGCAGAGGAAGAAACGAGAAGTACAGAACTTAAACTGGAGAGGCCAAAGTCTCTGCCTATTAGAGTCAAGGATACTGAGCCAGAACTTGGAGCATTCATTCTGATTCCTTCTGAAATTTGTGGACTGTCAACCGTCAGAGCATTGGTGACAGTCTCGCCTACCATACCAGCAGAAGTGACGCTCAACCTCATACTTCTTCCCTGTAGAGCTGCTGATCTCACGTAAAGGGATGTGCTTGAAATCCAATCTGAACTTTCGCAACTGGTCATGGCCCCTGCTCTAAAGGCAGGTGAATTGTCCTGCAGGCCTACATTGATTCCTACGATAGTGATCTGCAATGTTCCAGTTCCTGGTAAGTTCTGCCTTGTAGTCGAAATACCAGCTGTTGCATCAGCAGAGATCAAATAAGTGGTAGTGGATACAAGGGATGAAGAGGTAAGAACGATTCTCATGCTGTTGACTTGAAACGCTGAAATTCTTGAAACGATCGTCGTTTCAGAATTCCAGCTTGTCAATTCAGCAACTGTACAGCCTATTGCGAGTGACAGAGAGGTCCACAGGCTGCCGAAAGAAGAACCGAAGATGGTGATTGACGATTCACTAGGGAAAGCAAAATTCCTCCTTTCCATGTCTGACAACAACGGAACATCTGCAGAAGCTGCAAAAGTGATGCTACCCTGTGAAGAAGACGCCGTAAGAATAATCTTTGCGCTGCCTGCTGTTGTTCGTGATGAAAATCCCGCGATTTGTGTATCAGAGATCCATTCGCTCGCTTCCATTGAAGTATAACCTCTCCTCAAAGAAGAACTGGCATCATAAAGCGCAAATCCACCCAGGATTGTGACAGATACAGCACCAGTGGATGGTGCGTTGGCATTTGAATCTTGGTGTAGAGAAAACGAATCATGTGTAAGTATGTCCGTCACAGTTCCAACATTGATTCCCACAGTCAGAGTCAGGCTTTTTGTTCTTCCAACTAAACTTGCAGTCATGCACACAACCGACGTTGCAGAAAGCCAGTCGGACAATTCACAGGATGATCTATGCATCCGGTTGGAGATTGAGTAGTGAGCAAGACCGCTCCCTGTACCGGACACAGTTATATGCGCTGAACCAGTGTTAGGTGAATTTGATCGGGTTGCTGTGCTCAAAAAAGAAACATCAGACGAAAGCATCTCCGAGATCGACTGGGGTTGTACTGACATTGTGATTGCAATGGATCTGCTTCCAGAAATGAATTCATTCATCATTGAACGTACAGATGTTTCTGAGACCCACTCGGTACATTCCAACGCAGTGTGTTGACTTCTCGTACTGATTGTGCTTTGAAAGAGCCCCATACCACTACCAAAAATCACCATGCTCAGCGAGCCCGTACTCGGAGCATTAGCCAGCAGCGCTGATACCACTAAAGTGTCCCAAGATAAGAGTGCTGTTGTTGTCGACACTAACATTGAGTGAGTTATCATTACTGATAATGTAGGGCTTTGCAATACTCCAGCAAGACAATGCAATGCAGTTTCCGAAAGCCAATGCGAACTATCACAAGGTGTGTAGTGAACCTTGGAGGATTGTGAGGATGTTTTCAAGCCAATAGCATTACTGAAGATCTGAATTTCTGTTAAACTTGTCTTAAAATAATTTCTTTCCATGGAATCAGAAATCGAAAGTGCATCTGTTGACAGCGACGATGACACAGTAGAATCGAAACCAGAGATAGTTATAGAAAACTTGAAAGTATTTCCAAGCGTAACGGAACCTAGGCAAACAATCGAGCTGGTGGATCTCCATTCTGACAATTCAGCTGTAGAATGCGAAACCCTTGCCATGACGCTGTTCGAATAGTGACCCATGTTACCTCCTGTTATCGAAATTAGAGTTGACCCTGTTATGGCAAGATTGATCCTTTCCATACAAGACAGAGCAGCATTGTCCAAAGAAATGGTTTCCGTACGGCTAGAGAGCAATTGATGGGACGTTATCACAATGGTTGACGAAGATAGCATGACTGCAATCGAGAGGCACTGTATGGAAGAATCCGATAACCAAGAAGTAGATTCGGATGCAGAAAATGTAAATCTTACTCGGTTTGATACGGAAAAATGGGAGTAATCCGCTCCATGAACAGTCAATGCCACACTCCCTGTACTAGGAGAGTTACTCTCAAAGCTATCACTGACAGATTGATCGCTTGTAAAAGCCTCAGTGATGCTGTTAGCTTGCGCTCCAATACTTGTCATGATTTGTCTGCTCCCACCCACCATGGGACCTGTGTAACACATAACGGCAGAAACAGATTCCCACTGGGTGGCCTCACATGCTGTTGCTGAGATGCGAAAGCGTGGAGTGTCAAACACAGCAGAAAGATATCCAAAGACAGCAACCTTGATGGCTCCAGTACCAGCAGCATTGGATATGTCTAAAGTCATAGGTGGTGCATCGATGGATAACATTTCAGAGGTAGTGCCCTGAAATCCAACGATCGATAGCAGCAACCGCATGGTGTTTTGTAAAGAATAATGAGTACGTGTCACAACAGCTGTATCTGAAATCCAGTTTGTTCCTTCGATGGGTGTGCTACCAATCGTAGAAACATGACTGCTGGCAGTCAATCCAAACTTTGATCCGAAGATTGTTAGGGAGAGGCCTCCTGTGACGGGAAAGTTCTTCGCAGAGAGGAGCGAGAGTGAAGAATAATCAATCGAGATGCTTTCGGATAATGTGCCCTGCATGACATGTACTGTAATTTGAATCTTTCTCGATCTCAAGAGCGCACTTTGAGAAAGGCAGACGACGCTTGTTTCGGATCCCCAGCCGGTTGCCTCACATACGGTTTCCGCAAGCCTCATGTTCATGGAACATGATTTCTTAGAGAAATCTGTTCCATCAACGGAAAACAATACACTTCCAGTACTTGGAAAATTCTGCCGCGATGCCAAACTGATCCTCTCTGCACCCGTTGTAAATAATTCCGTGCTGCTGAAAAACATGTTTTGAATCGAGACGATGAGTTTGGTACTGCTGGCCTCCCCTGAAGCACTGAGGCAGCTCAATTGACTTTGAGATATCCAGAAGGTAGCCTCACACGCTGTGAAAAAGATTTTTGCAGACGATGAGGCTTCATGTTGGTTGAAACCTTCACCAATGATGGAGACATACATCGATCCAGTACTGTGTGCATTTGAGCGAGCGGTTGTTGAAATAGATGGAACGGAAGTTGAAAAAGCGGATGTGCTTGAACCAACGTGGGATGCACAAGTGAAGATAACCTTCTGTGATCTTGCGAAAGTTTGAGCTGACATCGCTTGCACTGATGTTGATGAAACCCACGAAGAAAGTTCACAAGCCGTGTAACCCAGGCGAATGAAAGCACAATCTGCAACCCCAAGATTCAACCCAAGAAATGAGATTGTCACAGAGCCTGTACTTGGACTATTTTGCAAATGCAACGATGTCAACGAATTTGCATCATAGGTCAGTGCTTGCGTTATAGAATTGAACGAAAAGGAAACGAGTGTAAAAACAACTTTCATTGTCTGCTGAGCTCCAGCGCTGGAATAGCACGTGATGCTTGAATCAGAGTTCCAATTAGAGCCTTCGCAGTTGGTTTGGCCAGTTCTGATATTGATAGAAGTTCGAATTGTATTCATTAAGCTAGATTCAAACAAGATCTTGACTGATCCAGTAGCAGCGAAATTCACCTGTGTTGAAGGGATGATCAGCAGAGAGTCGTAAGACAAAATGTCCGATGTAGTTGAAACAACATTCCCCATGGTAATAGTTGTAGAATGACTTTTTGACAGCCCCTGCGAAATCATACATGCAGTTGTTGTATCCGAAATCCACATTGTAGATTCGCATGTTGTACTGCCGAAATCAATTTGGTTGGTTTCAAAACGAGACCCAAAGTTTTCCCCAAAGATGTACGAGCTTTGCTGCTGGAACAACGCATAATTGATTGCAGAAAGAGCAGTAATCTGTCCAAGATCAAAAGAAAACGAGCTGCAGATACTAGCTAAGGAGCGATCTTGAGAAATGATCACAGTATGCGTGTACCTTGCACCTGCTGCTAATTGACAGATGATGGCAGATTCTGAATTCCACAATGTTTGCTCACAACTTGTTGACAAGATCCGTACCATACTAGAACTTGAGAGACCTGTTTGAATGGTAGCAATGTGCACCATGGTTGATCCAGTACATGGTCCATTTCGATTTTCAAGCTCCATAACAACTGAATCGCTCGAGAAGGCTCCAGACAGTGAGCCAGTGTTCAAAGAGGTTGTTACAATCACAGTTGAAGTTCGAGAAATGAAGACTGTTCCTGAACATGCAATAGAAGTCTCTGAAATCCATGATGTGGCTTCACAAAATGATGGGCTGATTCTCAAGAGCGGGCTGAGAGAGTATGGCATGAATGATTCTCCCATAACAAAAAGTGTTCGATTGCCCTTTGGAAAAAAGTTTGCAGTAAACAAGGACGAAATAGAATTTGCCTCGAAAGACAATGATTCAGAAAGAGTTCCAGAGGCATGTGCGATTGAAATGTACATATTTGAGGTTTTGCCACTCCCTTGGCTGGTCTGACTTCGAATGGATGTATCAGAAACCCAATTTGATGATTCTGCACTACTGTGACCAATCCTCAAGTTGCTCGTACTATCTCTTACAAAATGACCCCATGCAGACAAGATGACACTTCCCGTGGAGGGATTATTAAACCTTGAGCTAAAGGACACAGTCGAGTGATCGAAGGAATATGCCTCTGTAAAAGTTGATAAATGGACAGATGAAATTGCAAATTTCATGGTATGTCCATATCCTGATCCAACTTTGCAAAAGATTGAAGATGTTGAAAGCCATCCGCTAGATTCACATATGCTTTGAATGCTTACTCTGATTGTATTGTCGAACATTGAAAATGCAGAACCGGCTTGCACGACAGGCTCGCTGGCAATTGAAACGCTGTTGGAAATAGATGTTCCTGATATAGTGTCTCTATCAATCGAGAAGATGTTTGTTGCTGTACCCACTTCAATCCCTGTGGTCACCACGGCTCGTTTGCTTGTTGCATCTCCTTCGCTTGCTGCACACAAGATAGCACTATCAGAAAACCAGGAACTAGCTTCTGCTGCAGTCAGCCCTGTTAGCCTGGCAGAGTAGCTGGTAATACCGTAGTGTGCTCCGATGACAGTAAGAAGAGAAGATCCTGTTGATGCCACATTCGTGACCATGACAGATGAGCAATGTGAAGAATCTGTGGAAAAGATTGAAGATGCGCTACCGAGCAGCATACAGACTGTTGCACTTGCAAATCTACTCTGAGACATGGAAGATGTTCCTCTGCATGCTACTGAAGAGTCTGAAATCCATTCTGATGATTCGCTTGGACTGTAAGAATTGATGCGAATGGAAAAATCTCTAGATGCAAAATTTTGCCCACTTATTGAGATCCACGAAGATCCCGAGGAAAGAGAATTAAATACGAAACTATCAGATACTATCAAAGAATCTACCGACAAGATGGAGGAATGTGATGAAACACAAGAACGAGTTGAGATCAAAATCATTGCAGATCCATGAAGGTTACCAGAAAGCAAACATCGCAAGCTAGTATCTGATTCCCAAAATGAATTTTCACAATCAGTCTGACCCGCCCGGGTTCGAGAACTTGTCAAAATGTGCCCAAAAAATGCTCCAACCACTGTGAAGCTTTGACTACCAGTCGAACCTGAATTCCATACCTTGAGCCCGGATAAAATTCCTGCATTGAACGAAACAACAGAAGAAACAGTGCCATGAAACAAATTCATAGAGAATAAAACAGAAACAGAACGAAACGTTGAACTGCAAACAAAACAAGAAACCGAGGTATCCGAAAACCACACGCTGTGTTCAGAAGAAGAAAACAAAAAACGTCCTGCCCCGCTCCCGTCCCGGCTCCCCAGCCCTGCCCCTGCTACCGTCACGCTCGCGCTCCCCGTCGCTGCCCCGTTCCCTCCCTCTCCTACCCCGGACGTCTCCCCGCCCCCGTACGTCCACCCCTCTGTCCCCCGTGCCCCCCCCGCTCCCCTACCGTCACCGCCGCCCCCGCCGTCCCCCGCCCCTCCCCGGCCCCTGCCGCCCGACCCGCTATCGCCGTCTCTGACCTCCACTCGCTCGCCTCGCACCCCGTGCTCCCTACCCGCCCTGCCCCGCTCCCGTCCCGGCTCCCCAGCCCTGCCCCTGCTACCGTCACGCTCGCGCTCCCCGTCGCTGCCCCGTTCCCTCCCTCTCCTACCCCGGACGTCTCCCCGCCCCCGTACGTCCACCCTTCTGTCAAAGAACCCGGTCTGTGTACAATTGAAATCAAAATACGAGAATCGTCCAGAGATGATATTGAAGCGCTTGCGATTACAGAAACAGATGTATCTGACCTCCACTCGCTCGCCTCGCACCCCGTGCTCCCTACCCGCCCTGCCCCGCTCCCGTCCCGGCTCCCCAGCCCTGCCCCTGCTACCGTCACGCTCGCGCTCCCCGTCGCTGCCCCGTTCCCTCCCTCTCCTACCCCGGACGTCTCCCCGCCCCCGTACGTCCACCCCTCTGTCCCCGTGCCCCCCCGCTCCCCTACCGTCACCACTGCTCCCATTGTTGCCCCATGACCTATCGCCCAAGTAGTTTGTGCGAGGATTGCAGTTTTTGATATCCACTTTGTTGATTCAGCAGCTGTTGGTGTCCATGTTAATTTTGGGCTGTAATCTTTGTTTGGTAGGGTTTCGGTTATTATTATCATTTGTTTTGACCCAGTACAAGGTCCATTTGATGTTGTCTCTTTTTGTTGCAAGAGTGTGGCTGGTGATTGGGCTATGGTTTCAGGGGAGTCAAATGTTAAAACGTTGGATATTGTTGCGGGTAATGCATTGTTACCAATTGATAGAATGATTGGATTTGACCTTCCAGTCCCGTCAGGTGCTCGACATATAATCAGTGTATCTGACTGCCATGAAGTCATTTCGCATGTTGTTTGGTGCAACCTCGTTGAAGGAGTGATACTGTCAAATCCAGTTTGCGATCCATAAACAGTGATAAGACTTGATGTACCGGGTACAATGTTCGCTGAACTCATATACAGATTATCAAACTTGATATTTAAAGGATCTGTTCCATTTTCGATGCCCAGGTAAATACCTCCTGGCTTATCCATGGAGGTTGGCGAAATGGTTGCAATTTCAACCGCATCGTCATAGATCGTCATTGACAAAAATATACTGGGAGAGCTTTGTTCTATTTCTGGATTCAGTAATGTAAAGTACAGAGAAAGAACGCTTCCAGCTAGAATTGTATCATCGATGTAAACACTCAACTCTCCACTTGCTTGAGTCCAAGACGTTTCTGCTGTCAAAAGTAAATAATTTGAGGCTGCAGAAAGAGAGTTGCTTTCAGTCCTAGAATTGACCAAACCAGAAATCGTCACTGCCGTATTCAAATAAATATCATAGTTCAATGAAATTGAGACTGTTATCGTATTCGAAGCTCCTGCCATAGGGGTGTTTTGTTGTATTGTCTTTAGCGAAAATGATGGGGATACAACCTTCAATGGATTTGACCCGTTAGATACACCAAACAGCTGCGTATTGAGAAAATTCATGTTCTGAGAGGAAATGATTGCATCATAAACACCGCATTCTATAGTTGCAGACACGGATACAGAAGGAGAATTTTGTTCGGAAGAAGGGTTTGTAAGGTTGAAAGTCAAATAATATCCAGAATGAACATCATTGTTTGCGCGAGTCAAAATCAAAGTCCCATCAGAATTGGTCCATACAGCACTCGTTCCAAAAGCATCAGCAATCGACTGAATGCTTAATGCAGAGTCATCTGTTGTTTGTGTGGCGATCAAGCCTTGAATGGTTAATTTGGAGCTCTGCGGAAGGTAGCAATTCAGCTTCAATGAAACCGTGATTGCATTCAATCTTGAAGGTACAGGAGTCCCTTGCCATATTGTCTTTAAATCAAAATTTGCTTCAATAATGTACAAAGCTGAACTTCCAGACGAGACTCCAAAGGCATCTGTTGAAAGGAAATCCATATTTACAGCACTGATGTCATATGTACCAGCGGCTTGAATGAAAATATTGGGGGAAACTTGCGAATATTGTGGATTCCTGACCGAAAACGAGATCGCATAAGTAACGTCTGATGCCAATGTTTCTCCAATTAGGCTCAGCTCTAATGATTCGTTCAAACTATTCCAAGTTGGAGTGAACAATGAAGACCCGTTGCCACTGAGAGTAACTGGATTTGATGCAGCCGCGCCGCTAAGTCCTGAGATCGTGATCACTGAACTGTTCTGCGAATACATGTTTTCATCAACTGAGAAAAGAATCGTGAGATCATTTGAGGCTCCAGCCAAAGGGTTGGATTGATAGATTTGTTTCAACAAGAATTGGGCGCCGAAGCAACTATGAGTACAAAGCTGAATGAGAAATAATAGAAGGATTGATCTGGACATGATATCTGCTCCTTAATAAGCACAAGAGTCACTCAGGTCTTCATACTGCAAACTTGAAGTGTTCATACGATTGGCGTCTAGTTGTGCTTTCCGGCATACTAGTACTGCATTGCGGCGAACGAGCGCGCGAAGAGGATCCGCCTCAAAATCCTGCAATTCATTCGGGATAGCGCAACGGAAGCATGACCTTTTTTTATTAGAGTGAAAGCTTCTATAATTTTTTTAATTAAACTTTGAGTCACGGAAGTAGTTCGGACCTCATTGATTGTCCTCGTACTGATTTTTAGCTTAACTTTGAAAGGTATTATTGCAAACTTTCATTCCAGTGAACTCCACAGATATTGACTTCATGGTCGCCGGAGGGCCGTTTGGTTTTCAAGGCTCAAGAACTTTCAACTCTACAAGCCTTGCAATCGGAGTGTTTACGAAAATCGTGAAACATACAAACAGAAAATCGTCAAGTTTGAAGTCAAACAACTAATGGGATGAGGATGAATTCAAAACACAACCAGTTACTTTGCTCGGACACTTGAAACAGATTGAAAAATTCGTCGACTTGGACACATTCATTCAGAAAGTTAAAAAAGTTGTACCAAAGGACTTGGTCATCGAATCAATCTTGCGGATGTTACAGAGGAAGACTTCAAAAAGATCACAGCAGAACAGGTAGAATTTCATGTCTACAATCTCAACAAGCTATCTTTACTTCAAATCAAACTTGAAACTTCACATCTTCGGAAGTTCAGAGCTTGATGAGATCTCCTTTGCATACTTCTTAGAAAATTTAAATCAATCTCTCATAATCTCAGCCGGGCCGCCGGGCCGGACCCACCGTCACTCAGCACCGTGCCACTGACGGTGTCGGACGGTCACGGCCCGGGCCCTGATCACTGAGACCGGCCGCCCGGCGGTTCTCTCTCCACTGGCCCGGTACCAGGCCGCCCGGCTTCCGAGTTCCGGGTGAGTCTCCACATGGTGAATCCGGATGAAAAGCATGGTCATTGTCGCATCCCCCGATTTTAATCTTGTAAAAAATGGGGACTACACCGTCATGTAGTCGACTTGTGCTGAACAACAGGAGACAACCTTGTGCTGAACAAACAGAGACAAGCTTGTGCTGAACAAACAGAGACAACGACTCGATGGTTTCCTTACGAAAAGAAGAGACGTTAGAACATGCCCAAAGTTACTTCATTCACTTTTCCCCGAAAGTCCGACTAAGGAAAGGATTTGTACCAGGTAATCGTGCCGTCGATAATGACTCTGGTGTTTCCAAGAGTGAGCCAGAGACCATCTTAACAAATACAAGATTGAAACATGCTGTTGACGACCGTCATCACATTTGCGTCACTCCAACTCAACAGACCGGCATGAACTTGTCTGATGTAATCTTTTGTTCGTTTCCAGACCAGAGTCGCAAAGACTCGCACTACTCTGTCACAGTCATGTCTTCCGAAGAGCTGATGATCATCCGAGATCTAGAAACCTCCAATGATCATTGTACGAGGCACGAGACGAAAACCTACTTGGAACTAAATGTAGCCAAGGCATCCTTAAGTCAGGGAGGCCTAGTGCTTGAAATCAGAGATGCAGTCTCGCAAATTTCCGTAGTTTTGCATTTTGACAGGCAGTCAACTGTTGACTTGTGGTACAGAGTTTTCATGATCATTCAGGGCGATCAGATGGAATTACACGAGACTAAGAGCAATGGACACACGGATTCAGAGCATGGCATCTCATCACCAATCTCGAATCTATGTTCACGTCGTCCATCGTACAATGAGGAGAAGTTGTATCCACATTTCGTCAAGACTGCCATCGAAATGCGTGACGTGACTGAGGATGGTATGCCGCCAGACGAGCGTGCAAGGCCTCCGGCCCTTCACCTCAATGTGGATGTCACGATTGCTGAGGGGAACCACTTTCCCAAAATGGATTCGCTCCCACACGAGAAATGTGATCCCTTATGCGCAATAACTTTCAACGACGTTAAATACAAGACTCTCGTCAAGAACAACACGTACGACTGCAGCTGGAATGAAACTTTCACCTTTTTCGTCCACTCTATTCAGGCCACTGGTGCATTGATGGCTATAGGGACTGAGACGATTGGTCCAGCCTTTACCCTGCAGTGTTTTGACTGGAATTTGATCGCGGGGTCGCAGTTCATCGGCGGCTGCATCATTCCATTACGTGATGTACTTAATGGGGCTCTGAAAGATGAAGGTACGACAATAACAACAAGAATCCAAGACATGTATGGAGTAGATGTTTCTGGGTTCGATGGCATGTATACAACCTTAACCTTGAAATTTCGTGCTCGCAAAAAGTATGAGATGCTTCAAATATGGAAACCGCCGACGCTCAGGGATACACTGGAATGTAGTGAAGGCATCATTAAGTTAGGGAAGAGTTTTCGTTTGGCCAAGAGTTCAATAATTGCGAATCAGACTTCAAATTTCACTCGATCCCCGATGAATCCAATCGAAGAAGAGGTTTCTTTCCTTGAAGGATTTGACCAGGAGATTTCTACCCTCGAGTCTGACACCTATTGGCGAGAAAAGCTTGCTGAGTGGATGGAGTCACTGACTGTCAACATTTTTGTGATGTCACTTGTCGTACTTGATTCCATGAGCTTGATTTTCTTTCAAATCGTTTATCCTGTGCCTGATGGTGAGCCTGATCCAATCGCTCAAGTGGCATTGACAGTCTTTGTTCTTTCTTGCTTCGTCATCGAGCTATCACTCAGAATGATTGCTAAAAGACATCAATTCTTCTGGAGTATATGGAACATGTAGACATTTGTGAGATCAACAAAGTTTGTAGCTGACATTTGATCCTTCAGATTCGATTTCATCGTCATATTTGGTTCAGTGGTGATGGCAGCACTCAAGTACATCATATTCGGTGAAAAATGTTGTTTCTGTCTATCAGAACTTGACTTGTCTCCTGCTAGATACTCGGACGGGCATTTTGAACCAGAAAAGTGGAAACATCGATCGTACCCGACAAGCCACAACCACTCTGAGAGTCATTTCTCGAATAGCTGTTGGGCTGCGAGTTGCACGCGTGCTGATTAATCTGAGGAAGGCTCGAAAACTGAGTGGAAATGTAACCAAACGCCTTCGCAGCGCAGTCTCGCAGAACCGAAGAAGATACACGAAGCACGGGTTTGATTTAGATCTCACTTACATCACGAACAGAATTGTTGGTTCACGTCTTCCAAGTTTTGTGAGGGTCTGACTTTCACGATTTAGATTGCTATGTCAGCTCCTTGTTTCGGTGGACACACGGCATACCGCAATGATATCCACATCGTCTCGAGGTCCTCCCGTTGAACCTCCTCTGTCACTGTCTCTGAAGTCACTCCTCACCTGCAGATTTCTCTCTCTTCATCACTATGGTTCTTTCTTCGTGTTCAACCTTTGCGATACGTACATCAGCTCCGACGGAGTCATGGGGAACTATCACCCGCAAATGCTCTTCAATCAGGTTCAGCGGATTCCCTTCGAAGATCATGCTCCTCCCCTTATGTCAGAGTTGATCCAATTCTGCGAAGAAGCCTCGAACTGGCTGAAGGCCCACCATAACAACACGATAGTGGTCCACTGCAAAGGCGGCAAAGGGCGGACAGGCACGATGATCGCAGCTCTTCTTCTCTGGACGGGTCACAGGAGATGCGCCATAGACGCCATGGAGCTATTCACCTTCCGACGCACAGAGAAGTATGACCCTGATTCAGGCTTTGGAGATGCGGAGGAGCAAGACGAAGACAGCGCTCCGAAGTTTATGAGCCTGTTCAGGGGGAAGGTGGGAAACCAGGGGCCCGAGGGGCCCAGCCAGATTAGATATGTACACTACGTAGAGGCGATGCTCTATAGCGGGATAGACCCGCTGAGTCTGCGAGAGGTGATGCTGACGCATCTGAAGATCCCGGTCATGAAGAGCCACATGAAGCGGCCCTGGTACCTCTCGTTCTCCGTCAGGTGCATGAGATACGTGGTCTACGACTCGGGGAGGTCAAGTAAAGATGCGCATGTGATTGGCAACGATCTCGGAGCCCTGGTCACGATACCTGCCAACGTGATCATCTGGGGAGACACGCGGATCGACTTCTACTTCCACAAGCAGAACTCAAGTACCTCTGAGCTCAACAGGAAGCATGCTTTCTTCCTGGTGACCTCTCGTTTTACACTCCCTTGCTCGGTCCTGATTGTTCGCAGGTTTTCAACACTGCGTTTTATCCAGAAACCACAAAGCTCGTCTTTCGAAAATCAAAGATCGATCTGATGCAGAAAATGAAGCAAGTTGAGAATGATTTTCGGGTAAGCTCTTCCAACAATCATTCTCCTTCTTCTAACTGATGGTGTTGAACAGATTGAGCTGCATCTCGAGCCAAACTTAGAGAATCATGAGCTGACAGGAATTGAAACCTCGTTCTACAAGTCATTCCTCAACGGTACGAAAGCTCAGTACAAGGCAGGGGAAACAGTGCTGTCTGAACAAGACGTTCAACGTAAATTGTTGTTGGTAAGCCAATCATTGACTTTGATGAGCCAGATAACATTGCTTGTTCAGATCACTCAAGGTTCAGTGCAAGGGATCATTCAAGAAATTCATGACCCATCGCATGCAAATCATCCGCTCGGCTCCAATGTACCTGACAAGGAAGTCTCTTCACAAAACTCAATCCGCAAGCCATGTCTCACCATGCTGGGAATCAACAGCATCCTCGGCTCTTCTCAGTTTCTACGAGGCCTGGGGTCCATGGAGTTTCGAGCACGTTGTGACGTAGAGGTCCTCATCTTGGAGAAGGAAAACGTGGAAGTGCAACCAAGGATGGGGAGGTTTCTTGAGGACCCTGCTCAACCTCTCTCCCCCCGCGTTTCCAAGTGCTACCTGCCAGTTAGTGACGACAGAGGCGTCACGGGGCCGCACGCCAGTTTCGATTCGTCCGGACAACACATCTCAATGTCAGAGATAGCGATCCGAGGGCTGCCCAACGAAGACCTCTTCAAGTTCTACCAGGGCCTGGCGCTGAAGCTTGCCCATCAGCTATCCAGGACCAGGATTGACATGATTCGACACGCTGGATTGAAAGCTTTCAATGACAGGCAGTCTGTGATGTACTTGGATGACGAACTAGAGAAGTTGAGAACGCACCTGATCTCAAACTTCGGCATACCCGTCAATGAGAAGATTCTGCTTGCTTCCAAGTGTATGTGCATACAGAAAGATACTTCGGGAAAGATCAACAAGATCAAGTTGAGAATCATCCTCATGTCTAACAGCATCATCTTAGACACCGAGATCTTCGGGCCGTATGTTTCAACTGCCGCTGAGCACATAAGAATCGACCAACTCTTGAGGTAACCTATCATTCTGTGAATGTAGAGGTGAGCGAGTGGTGGCAGCGTTTTCTACAAGACCGAAGGCGTGCACAACACGGTAACGTTGCAAATTCAAGGAGAAAGAATCCAAGGGTTAGAGCTGGTCAGTCCTGATCTGTGATTGCCGTCAGTGACAGCTCGGTGTGCAGCTCGCTAACCTTCGAGAGATGGACTTGACTTTCCATGGCGAGCATCGCCTGCAGCAAATCTACTCCCTCCTCCTGAATCTTTGCAAGAGAGGAAAAGAACTGCGGGAGAGGCAGAGGGAAAGGCCTTTCGATAGGCCGCACATGACAAGAATCTTCGAGAAGTGTGCAAGAGTCCACCAGCTAAGGAAAGGGCAGGTCTTGAAGGAAGGGTCCACAACAGACTCTCTCTTTGTCGTCCGGACTGGGAGCATCAAGCTCACAAGGGATGGGAGCGTCTTCAGGAGAATCCTTGATGGCTGGTGTTTTGGCTCGACTGAATTCGTGGAGCAGACGGTCAGTCGCGCGTTCGAGCTTTCGACCTGACGACTTTCAGGTTTCCGGTCGATTCGTCGCCACAGCCACAGAGAAAGCTGTGATCCTGGAGCTTCCGCCGCTTGCTGTGCAAGACATGATCGCCCGCGATCACGCGCTGGGAGCCAACTTCTTTTGGACGCTGTGTCAGGTTGAGGGTGGAGTGCGCGAGCGAGAGTGACCGAGGGCAGGTGATGGAGGACGACATCCGTGAAGGCATGGAGGAGATGTTTCCAGGCTCCTGGTCCCTCAAAGTCGACTCGCAACACATTGCATCCAACCTCGTGCTTGCTGCTACGAGCCCTGCGTACCAGGAACAGGCACTCAAGAGGCTGGCCAAGGACGAGGAATTCGTCTCAGTCCAGCTGGACTTGTCGGACCTGCAAACGTCTGACGGGACGCCTTGGAAGCCCGATGAAGCCCCTTCTAGCTAGCTGTTCTTAACGCATGTATTCAGAATTAACATGTCAGATGACCCTTCACTTCTTCTTCGACAGAATCTTTCGTGACAGCCTGGTGTTGGCTGACAGGAGAATACCCTTCTATAAACAGAGTCAGGGGCGAACACTTGAATGAGAAAGCTATTACCAACACCCTGAGCTCATGATAAAACTGTGAAAGGTCTACTGTTCGTCGGAGAAATTGCGCCATAATTATACCCTGTATGACCTGATGGACAGACAGTCAACCCTAGCAGAAGCAAGCAAACCATCTTTCCTGGTAGATGATAGCAATGCACACATACAGATCGATGAGCCACCACACAGAGTTCATGAGAGTTACGTAGAGAGCGAGAAGAATGCCACAGCGAAGTAGATCAGCTTTCAAAGCTTCTTTGACTACATTGCCTGCGCCCAATTATTAACAGACCTCTGAAAAGTTGTCATGACACACTTGAGAATCCCATGGAGGCATCGTTATACAAGTTTCCAAGGAAGACGAGCAAGTGAGAGACGCTGAGAAGCACGATGACGAAAGGAAAATGCCTCCAGACTTGACTGAGAACTTGATCATGTTTGGTAGAATTCTAAGCAATCAAACTAACCTGAGATGTAGACCAATGGCAAGATTCGGGAAGATAAGGATCAGGAGCAGAGAGAGAACAGAAAGACTGGACGCATGAAATCAATTCTAACAAGAGACTGAAAATCAACAGGCTCACCCCTGATTGCCCAACAGAAGAAGGAAAACGCGCTTCTCAAAGAACATCAGGTACAACAGCGTTACTCGAGGACCTATGCACAGGCCGATCTGTTTCCACGTCGTCAGATCGTACAGTCCACCTGTAGGAACAATCTGAGAGGCACGGCAGTCACCAAAAAGAAGGCAGAGTTTCTCCTGTGAGCGATGCGATACTCCCAGAAACTGATCGGGTTATATGCAATCGCCTCCTTCAACTCCCCGAGACTAGTCTTGAGCCGTAAGAGATTCCGATCGAACTCATCTGCTCGGGATGAGCGAAGAAACATCACAGGAGTAAAGTCAGTCGTGAAGAGTCTACCTGGTCTTTCCTGCTTCATTCTAGGATCAAGGACATGTAGCATATCTTCTTCTTTCAGCGACAACAGCATGTAACCATCGATCTCATGCTCTTTCAGGTGCAAGAAGTATTCCTGTTCGTTCCAGGGTTCGATTCCCTCTTTCCTTAGCCAGTGCGACACCTCCAAATTGTTTGATGAGCTCACATGATGGAGAGGAAGACGGTGAAGTCAAACCTGCTGCGTGCTCCAGTCATCTACCCCTTGTCTGGTTGCGCTTCCCTCTCCCGCAAAGGGGTCATCGTGGCTGTCATTGCCGCTCGTCCCTGATCAACAAAGTCTGATGCACGAACATGGGAGTAAGGCAATACCGTTCAAGAGAGCGACAATGAAGAAGAGATTGAAGAGCACAAACTTCGTCATGCAAGGTTTTCGCGAGAAATCCGATATTCTCGGTCAAAACATGAGCGAATGAGAAGATGGAAGAAGAGTATGGAATGATCGCAGTGCAATCTAAGACAAGAACTCTTTCAAGACCTCAAGCACACGGAGAGAAGAGATCGTTCGACAAGCTGAGCACTACAACGCCAGATGACGTCTGCATGTCGCCTGTCTTCTAGCCAATCTTTTACTCATTGTAATACAGTCTAGTCCGCCTCAGATATTCTATGGTGACCGTACCGGCGCCGTACGGTACGGCCCGCCTGGTCATCGCCGGACGGTCCCGCTTGAAGAAGCCACAGCCCACCTTTCCAGGGTAGTAGTCGGAATCGAAGCTCTCTTCGCTCATCGAATCTTCATCTTCGCAGTCAGATTCGTCCATTTCGACGTCGTCTTCATCGCCCATGTTGCGACTCTCCTGATTGAATTGCTTTTCGATTTCGGCAGCCTAAAGAATACAGTGGAAGATATACTCAATCATAACAAAAAATTAACACAGTTTAGTGGCGGCAATCATCCGATCGGACTCTTCAACTCCAACGCTGTCCGAGTGATCGCACGCGGCCCCCGGCGGGGGGAGCTGAGCCTGCCCGGGGTCCGAAGTTGGCGGGCCACCGGGCGTTGGCCCCGGCCAGATGCAAACAGTAGCAACAGTGCCAGGCTGAACAAAAACCAGCCTGAAAGGGGTGGGTGGGGGGGGTCATGATTGCCAGTAGAAAGGACGGAAGGGGTGATTCCCAGGGGCAACCATGGGGTAGGGGGTGTGCAAATTATGCAGGGCGTCCGGTTTGACCATTAGGTTGCCTGGTGAGGGTCGGACGAAGACAGGGCTGGGAAGAGATTGAGATGAAGTTGAGCAAGTCATGATTCATCGTCGTGAATGCTGTTGATGTATCTTTGAATGTCGGCCAGTTCAAATGTTGCTTCCTTGAGATCCTTGTTTCATCAATCCTTCCTCCGCATCTGCCCTGCTCCCTTCTCCAGAGTCGGATCATCTCTTGCTCAAAGAGGAATCGGAGCCATTCTACACAATGAATTTCTTCTTGGCTGCAAGGTGTGTATTGTTTATGATGTTCTACGTTCAAGCTCTCTCCACGGAAAGTTTCTGGATAGATAGAGGGAATTCGATCAGGTCTTGGACTGATCAGAACAATTGGAGCAATGGAATCCCGGGGCAGAACACTTCAGCAATATTTGCTGTCCACGATTCTCTCGTCATAATCATAGACTTGAATGTCTCTGTCAGCTCTCTTCACTTCTTTGTTAATGTTTCAGACAAATTCAGTCTCCCGCCTGTGAGCATCACTTTGATTATTTCAAGGAATGTCTTGCTCAAAGCTGGGTCGATGTTCGTCGGAGACATGGTCAACCTGGTCATAAGAGGAGATCAGTTTGAAATCATAAACTTCATGTCCTTGTCCGAAAGCTCTATAACCTCCCTAAACGTCAGCTCAATCAGCGTGGGGGATAAAGCAGGGCTGCAAGGAGATGCTTTGCTACTGGACGGCATCCTCTCGGTATGTACAGTCAGTGCGAACATCTACTCTCAGGTGCTGTGCAATGGCACGATCTCCCTGCTCTGCGGAAGCCTTTCATTGTATGCAAGATCTTCGACACTGTACGGGAACATGTCGGTAGACGAACAGGGTGAATTGATTCTGTCACAAGGAGTAGCGCTGTACTCGTTGGGGAGACTTGATGTTAGCGGAGTTCTCACCTTGCAAAACCAGAGCGACTTGGTCATTCATGATTCCAATCCTTCAAAGTTTTCGATGCATTCGAGCTCAAGTTTGAGAGGAGGGACTGGACTAGTGAGCTTTACGAGAATTTCTCAATGCTCTCCTTGCACACCTTCTGTTCATGTGCTTTCTGGCACGAGCGTACTAGACATTCAGATCATACAGGGGAGAGTTTCAGCTTCTGGGATATTTCGGCAGTATGGCTTGATTAGCAGCTTGTGCTTGTCCAATGCCGTCAACTTGCTGGACTTGGAAAGTGGGCAACTGGAGATGGTCGGGGGTAGACTTTCTCTGTGCAGCATCGTGATACGAGGTCCAGCAAAAGGATCAACATATGAACAAAAGAAGGATCAGAAAGACATGATCTTGGGGAAGAATACTGAATTGATCTTACAGCTCAATGTCACTTTTGAAAGAGCAAATTTTGTAATTCCTGGAAATTTGATTGTGTATGGGAATGTTTATTTCAAGGGCCCATTGTATGCAGAGTGTCAGGGCCAGGTATCATTGATAGGTGGCCCTGGTTTCTTTGACAACAATAATCAAAGTGCAATAGCAATCTCTGGTATATTTCTACCTGGTGGTGGAGGCAGTCCTCCCCCTACAATCGTGTTCTATGGCATTGATCTCATCAACGAAGGAACTCTTTCTTTACAGGGCGTTGTAGTTCAACTGGTTTGGAGCTCTATCATACAACGCAAGAGTAGCAGCATAATCCAAACAGATTCGACAACGACGCTGAGATGCTCTGTATCCAGAGGAAATTGTATCAACATCTTTGATGGTTCCTTGGAAGGTGAAGCAACGGTAATCCATCTCTCATGATTTCTCCCTCTCTATCGACTGACTACTATGCCAGATTTTTGGACAAGGTCAATACATCACAATCTTCAACAACGGAAGCATAAAGCCTGGGTACTCGAATGGGATTGGATCAATAACTATTGCAGGCAATTTCTTCCAAACTGAATTTGGCAGAATAGATATTGGGGTGGACGGGAGTGGACAATATTCTTCTATTGTGCTTGCATCGTCGAGCTTTGTGAAGGGGATATGGGGTTTGCTATCATTGAATTGGAATCCGTCCGATAGCTTTTTTCTGGGACAGAAGATTTATCCTTTGTCGCTGTTTGATGGCTCGCCGCCTCCTGTTGCGTCCTTGATCCCCTTTCAAGTTGAGTCGAATGGTTATGGAATAGCGGCAGTCGAAAATCTAGTGCTTGCTTGGATGGTAAAGCAAAGTTCTCCGACTTTATACATGGTGTACCTTCAGGGCTGTGCCATGGGGTATAAACAAACTTCTACAAAGAATTGCGAAAAGTGTACACCAGGATATTATGGAGATCAACGTGGTCTTACTTATTGCAAAGAGTGTGTGCAGGTATTCCAACAATACTTAATCCTTTTGATTCTCCACATTTGACCTCATCTAACAGGGCAAGTACTCGCAATCATACGGGAGCACGTTCTGCTCAGGATGCTTGCCCGGATATTTTGCTATGATGTCAGGCAGCTCCACGTGTCAGGCTTGTACCGCTGGAAAATATTCAAATACCAATGACACTGTACTCTGTCACTACTGTCCAGCTGGAACATTTCAACCGTCTCCAGCTTCAACATTCTGTAAGTTTCTGCAATTCCTTCCATACTTTGATTCTCAACTGAGTATGCATCAGGCCCAAGTTGTCCGCCAGGAAAGATTTCTGCTGCGACTGGATCTGTTTTGTGCTTGGCATGCGCGGCTGGCAAGTACGAAGTGAACAACTCAAGGTGTGACAACTGTACGAGAGGCACTTACTCGTCGCAATCTGCCAGCACTTGCTTGTACTGTCAACCAGGATGGGTTGCTCCCATGGACGGATCTTCTAGTTGCGTCTCTTGTGAACCAGGATCCTTCAGCAACGGCAGCCACCCAGGCCACATGGCAACTCATTGCGTGCAATGTCAGATAGGGAAGTATGCGTCAAAGACAGCAAGCACCCGCTGCTACTTCTGTCCTCAAAATCAGATTGCACCAGCACCAGGCTTGACGACATGCTCGAGTTGTCCAACAGGACAAGTCAAATCGACGACAATGACAGAAGCTTGTGTAAATGTATCCACGTTTGATAGTTGGGACAATCAGAGTATTTCATCAACGTTTCAAAATATGCTTTCGATCACCAATATTTCAATCGCAGATTCAAATGTTACAGGGAGCTTTTTTGTTTCAGTTGCCAACGTTGAAGACAGAACAACACATACTCCATTTGCTTCTCAGTCTGCAGGGTTTCCATTCTTTGTCCTCTACGCTGGGCTTGCTGGTCTGCTGGTATTACTATCACTCTGTACGTTTCTTGCAAGAAACAGGTGCAAGACCATAGGGGAAGTAAAAGCGGAAAAGGAAACAGATGGTTCAAGACCCATTCAAGCCACCAAGAGAGATAATCACACTGGTGAAGGAATTCCTTACGAAGAATTGAAATCTCAGATTGTCATCGTGGATGATGAATCTATCACCGCAGAAGATTGTGTTTTACATGAGACAGGTCAAAAAGATCTATTCGCTGAAAGAGTAATCCTTTTTCAAAACCCACCTTATTTTGATTCGGAGGAACCAGAGGCAGGTAAAGATAGCTCGCGGCAGTCGCTCGATAGCCCGGTTACAGACACTTCAGCCGATTCATACAGTGAGGACAAATCTGAATTCGGCTCTGAAGGCGAAGCGTTGGAGTCTCTTGTGAAGGCCACGGGTTCTGATGTGGACGAGGAGTCGAACGAACCCAGTCTGGATCAACCGTCAAACGCAGATTCTAACACTGTTTGTTCTGATGACGATGTGGAACAATCTCAAACTTTTTGCTCCGATGCCGATGACCTGGAACAAGAGCATCAGCTCCAGGGTTCTGATTCATCCGATGAAGCCTCGGACTGTATGCACGATGCCTATCGAAGGAAGAGTCAAGATGAGCTGGGAACCCAGGCCTTATCTTTCAAGGCCAACCGAGACTTCAAGGAGCATGAAGCATCGGCCGATCAGTCGCTCGAAAGCATGAAGCGATTCAAATATCTGATCCGCGGCAGCGTCCCTCGGTATGCCTTGCAAGCACGCGATTCAACGGGAGCGGCTCAAACAGCAGAATTTTCCTTGGCGTCAACTAACTTGAACGCTAAAGGAGTCGGGAGATTGCTGTAGAACTAGAAGTGTAAATAAGAGTGTCAGAGGTGTAGCCATAGCGTAACATACAAGCGTATGCGACCTGTTCTCATCAACAAGATCCTTTCTTGTTTCGTGCATTTCCTCATCTATCTATCAAAATTTGACCGTCTGTCAAAAAGTTTTAAAAAAACTGCCGGATAGACGACCAGTCGAGGATCCATGGCAGCATCAACGAAGAGGAGGAAGAGGAGGGAGCGAGGAGGAAGACGCGAGGCTGCCTGGAAGCACGCAGATCGATACCAGGAAGGGGAAGCGAAGACATGAACGACCTGCCCTCTAGCTCACTGAGCGCATCTCAGTCACAAAGTGAAGTGATCTCGTTCTTGCATGTGAAAGCTGTTTGTTTGAAATTCTCTTCTAACGATAGAAAGTTGATTTAACCCCTTCTTGTTGCATCATCCTTTTGCACTTGATGTTGCGATGAGACTCTTGGAAACTCTCCTGCAAATATGCCACCTTGGCCTGTTGATCTCTGCGAGTGAAATCACCGATGCCTCAAAATCTTCCCTGTCGGGGGAAGGGATCTTACCCCTCCAGACAGCTGGTGTTGTTGTAAAGTTCTCAGTCTTCGCCCATGACAGTCTATCAATTCGTAAGACAAGTGGAGGAGACATTTTCGAGGTAGTTGCTACTTCGGACCAAACAAGTTCAGCTGGGTCAGTTCTTGATCTCTTGGACGGATCTTACGAGGTGGAATACACTCTTTCAACAAGTGGAAAGTACAATTTACATGTGCACCTGCTCTCAGTCGGAGGGTTGCGAGCCGAATATTTCGAGAATGTTTGGCTGTTCTACACGCCATCTGAAGTCTTGATAGAGAAACAAATCTCCCATGAGTGGGGCAAGAGCAAGGTGCTGACTGTTGGTCCAGATTTCTTCAGCGTTCGTTGGACAGGAAGGATCAAGTCTGCTTTCTCAGAGGTCTTCACATTCTTCGTGGAGGCGGATGATTCAGCCAAGTTGTGGATTAATGACGTGGTCTTGGTAGATTGTTGGGATGTAAGATGTGCAGGGGTAGGTGCCACCATGTCAATGTCAGCAACTCGTTTCTACAGTTTTCGAATGGAGTACAAGGAGTTAGAAGCAGATGCGCACGTGCGCTTGCTATGGAAGAGCAAGTCCGTGCCCAAAGAGGTTGTGCCGCCGGATCATCTGTTTTATGCCCAGACTGTGTTGGGCTCTCCTATAGAAGTTGATGTCATGCCAGGGAGAACGTCTGCATCTTTGTGCTCTGTGACAGGAGATAGCTTGACTCTGGCGACGGCAGGAAGTCTCAGTCGCCTCACAATCATAGCAAGAGATGATTTTGGAAATCTGAAGACGCAAGGAGGAGACACTTTCTTCATCCAGATTGTTACGAATGAATGCATTTATCCAGGTTCCTGGATTCCTTTTGCCAGCTGCAATGAAAACAAAATCACGAAACCATCTGTGCAAGACAATCTCGATGGCAGCTATGAGTTTCAATATGTTCTTCTTGAGGCTGAACGGCAGTCACTGCTGAACCTTGATTTGCTATCAAGCTGTCAGCTTACTGCAACGTATTACGATACCTCAGACTTGCCTGTGCTGACTGAAAGTCAAGAGCTCCTGAGCTCTGGTCGATTTGTATTCTCTAACCGTTCTCATGTACCATGTCTCAAGGTGAAAGTAGGCGGAGCTGTAAAACCTGCACTCTCGGACAACTACAGGTTCTCAGTGGACCAGGTCCAGGGGATGTCAAATTTCAGCATCACAGTCCTGCTGGACGAGAGTGTAATCCTGCACAATGAATCGGTCTCTACGGCAAATGTGTTGACGAGCTCTGAAGTCCGTATGGATGCCACCAACTTTTACGATTTCTCCTTACAAGTTCGAATTTTTGACACCATCACCAACACCCCTCGCTCATTCAGCTTATTATGGGAATCTGCTCAAATGCAACCTACATTCATGCAGTCTTGTGACATTTTTGGAAAGGGTAGCTGGCAAGATAGACCATACTTGTTGAACGTGCGGCCATCCCAAGTTTGCTCAAGCCGTAGTTATGTGTCACTGAATGAATTTTCCATGCTTCCTCTGGATGGGACAAATTTTCCCAATGGTACTGCAGGCAAACAATTTTCATTCCTCGTGAATGCACGGGATCAATATGGAAATCCGACATCTTTCTCACAATTCTCTGATCCTGTCAATGTCAGGCTGGTAGGAGCAGACACGCTTGCAGGAAACGTGATTTCTCAATCGAACGAATCACGTCAGATTTCGTTTGCAGCTACGAAAGCAGGCACTTACGACGTCAGAGTTGCAATTGGAACTTCTTTGGTGTACAACTCACCTTTTCGGCTGAATGTTCAACCATCGCACAGAAGCATAAGAAGCAGCTCAGCTTTGGGGGTTGGGCTGACTCTTGCAACAGCTGGAGATCTATCAAAAGTTACTCTTGTTGCTCGAGATACATTCGGCAACCTCAAGTCTTGGAATCCAAAGTGGACAGAGAGCTTCTTGTGCACATTTGTTGAGAGGGGGACTGGTTTGATTGTTCAGTCACGGACGTCTTCCCCCCCTTTTGATCCAGCTCAAGGTTCTTACTTGATTGTCCAATATCAGATGACACGAGCTGGAGAATATCTGCTGAGCATTGCTGGAACTTCGAGCATGTACGATGGAGTTGTAGGAGGACTTCCTTTCTCCATACACGTTGAGCCTGCTTCACAATGCGCGACAAGTTCGTATATGCAATCTGCTTCGCTCTCTATAGCGACGGCAGGCATGAGTCAATCATTCCAGATTTACATTAGAGATCAATATGGCAACGAAGTGCTTGCAAATACGAATTACATTTTCGCAGCTCTGAGAGTTCCACATGACAGCAGTTTGTCATGGGCTGTTCCAGATGCGATTCTTTCTGCAACATATACCAGCGATCCCTCATGCGTGGAATTCACCTCGTTTCCATACAGGTCGACAGTCAATCTAGTTTTATCCATGTTGTTAGATCATGGTGGGCTGACGACGACCTACTACTTGTCGTCGATGGCTTTTGAGGATACACAGACGAGCTCTTTGGTCACTCAGAATATCGACGAAGCAGTTAACTCGGGCTTGTCATTTTACATTATCTCTATTGAAGGCATCATTTTGCCACCGCAGAACGGAAGTTTCTTTTTTGCCATCAGCGACAATTCTTCTCTTCAAGGTAAGCTTGTTTTCTTGAAGAACATGAAGCATACCTGATTACACCTGATAGAGTTTTGCTATGAGATTTGGTTGAACAACATTCTTGTCACCGAAGTATATGACGCATCGTGTAACAAAACCGCTTCATTTACACAAACTTCAATTGAGTTGCAAAACTCCTTTGCAAGACTAGAGGCCAGATTGACTTGTTTCGGTTGCAACTTGACTATGTCGCGATATGTTTTGAAATGGGCGGCAAATTCTAGCAACTTCTCGTCCATATCGACCGCGAGAATGTACCAGGCACATGAGGTGAAGTCAAAATTTCATGCGTCGCACAAAGAAATTTCTAATGGCTTTTTCAGGTCCGTGGCAGTCCTTATGACTTAGCAGTCAAACCATCTGAAATTGCAACGAATCATTCTTTCATAGCGGGCACTGGGATATCATTAACCACGGCTGGCGTAGCTTCGTCGTTTCATGTGCATGCTAAAGATAGGTTCGGGAACGACTGCGAAAGCTTATGTGACGGTCTCTGTCAAATGGAATTCTTCGTGTCCAACCTTTCATCCAACCAATATCTGCAAGCTTCGACTCATTTGCAAGATGACTGGAATTCTACCTTGACTGCAACCAAGCTCCGCATTGTGCAAAACCTGACGTTGACAATGAATGCAACTTTTGACTATGTACTCAACGAATCAGGAATCTATGAGGTAAGGTCTACGACAACTCTGTTTGTTTTTATGACATCTTTTATGCTTAAGCTGCTCGGACGTTTGCTCAAGACAGGAGGTCTGCAAGGGATTTACTATGAAAACACAGACTTCACCGACCATGGCTTGTCTCCCAACGGCTCGGTCGCAGGCCCAAGTTACTCAAGGGTGGATGAAGTCATCGATTTCAACTGGAAGAAAACAGAACGTCCAGTCCCCGGGCCACAGGTGACCTTCAAGGATATCGGGCCAGATTTCTTCAGCGTCAGGTGGGCTGGTTTGATCATTCCACCTGCAAGCGCTGTTTGGACATTCAAGGTATTGCTTGCAGTGCGATGTCCGTCTAACAGTTGTGTTGACCTCTACCGTAGATGGAGCTGCCTGCTGCGAGTGGTGCCAAGTTATTCATCGACGATCTTCTGATTCTTTCGATCCGCCATGATTTCTTGGGTCAGTTGGCGAGTTTTGTCGAAGGAACCATAGCTCTGATGTCGCAACTCATGTATCCAATCCGCATTGAGTACCAAAGGTTCACGTCCGATGGGCCCATCCGCCTTCTCTGGAGGAGCCAACAACAAGCTGAGCAAGTAGTCTCAAAGGCATACCTGGCTTACTGGAGTAGCTCGGGGGGCCTGAGGAGCAGCTTGCTGAGGGTGGAGGCTGGAAAATCTTGTGCGAGTCAATCAAGAGCGTCAGGGACGTCCATCTCGATTGCAACAGCAGGAGTGTTGGTAAGTTTTACCATACAGAGTCGAGATGCCTATGGAAACGAGAGGAAAGGGCCTGACAATGGAGTCCTTCCTTTCGAATGGTCTTTGTGCGACCTCGTTCGTTCTGGAACCATCCTACAAGTTGTCTCGGCAACGGAAATTAAGCTCGACAACGTATCGGCAATTCATGGAAGGATCTTAGTTGACATGTACATACATTTCCATGAGACTGGAGACAACCGCAGAATCATCGACAATTCAAATGATAACACAGTCTTCCTGGAGACTCCTACTTCTATTCCACCAGTGGGTTCAAGATATGTCATTTACAACCCTTCAGTGAAAGACGCCACAAGATTACAGGACTTGTCTTACGGAGAACCTGAATTCTTCGCTCGCTATATACCAAACCTCCCTGACAATCCGGCATCAAAGCTCTATCTCAACTCCATGAGTTCTCTTTCCTCTGACGGAGGGTTGTCAGCTACGTACTACTCAAGCTCTCAAGATGTTGCCTTTCCTATCTGGAGCTCTTCTTGCCTCGCAGAGTCTCCATGTCAAGAAGTTCCCTTTGAAAACACACCGTTAATTCAATCAGCCCGACGGTCTCTTGCAAGTTATTTGACGGATACATACCGAGTGGACTTCCAAGGGTCGATTTCATTTCCTGATCAAGGGGTCTACAACTTCTCGATAGACTTCGAGCCTTCAGATCCTAACGTCATTGAACGCCTAAAGTTGTGGATTGACGACATCCTTCTGATTGATCAATGGACTTCTTTACAGTCCATGAATCTGACATGCACTGTCAATGTGACTGATTCATACCCTGTACTCCATCCGATCAAGATTGTTCTTTCGAGCTTCTCTAATAGTACAAACAGGTAAAACTTTTGTTATGTTGTTACACTTCAACCATCCTGAATTTTTCATCCATGCAGGGTGATGCCTTTGAAATGGAGCAGCGCTGCGTCAAGTCAAGTCTTTCAAAACACTCCCTCATCTTTCTTTTATCCATGGTCGGGCAACCACCTCGCCTACGGTGTTGTTACCCTTGCCGGTTCTTACAAGACTTCTGTCTCGTTGGCAATAGCGCAGACATTGTACGCAACGTTTTACAGCGATGACGCGATTCCGACTCCAATAGAATCTAGGATGGTGAACAGTTACAAGACAAATGCTATCATGACTGACCAACTTCCTTCGCTATGGAATTTTATTCGGTGGCAAGGCTTATTAAGACCGAAAATATATGATGTTGAGGTACAAGTTTTTACATTCAAGCTCGCATCGACGGGAATTGTTCCAAAACTTCGCTTTTGGTTCGACAATCAGATTGTGATTGATTCTACGGAGCAAGAGGATCTGACTGATCTTGAAGAACAAGTTGAAAGTCGTCAGGCTGCGTCATATTTCGATTTTACAATTGAGTATTTCTATAGATCAAGCTTGACGGATGACTGGGAGATATCATGGAAGCAGTGTTCACAATCCTTTTGTGACGAATCTTTTGTCGACATTGACAATAGTGTGTTTGGGGATTGGATGGTCAGCAGCCATGATAGTGTAGAATTTTATCCAGGAATTCTTTGTGCTTCAACGAGTTTTGTACAACTGCCTGAGATGCAATATGCATCTGCAGGGCAAAATGTTTCCTTCGCTTTGATCACACGAGATGAATTTGGAAACAGGAAGTCTCAGGGCGGAGATCAGTGGCTTGGTTGGTTGCTTCCTGCAGATGTCTGGGACAGCATGAAACCAATCAAAAACTCAACATCCTATTCCTGTCCAGGTTGTCAGATCAATTACGGTGTGGTCAAAGATGACGGCGATGGAACTTATTCTTTCAATGTTGTCACAAATAAGACTGGAGTATACAAGTTGATGGTGCAAAATCTTGTTCAGGTTGATCCTTTCTTTTGAGTAGTTTTATTTGTTCTTCTGAAATGTCATCGCAGGAAGGATTGTCTGCTACTTTTTATACTCTAGAACAGTATGATTATTCCACAATTTTGTCCAGCAAAAGCAGAGAATCGATCCAGTCGATAGGTGATTTTACAAGTCTCCCGGCAACCATCTGCATTGCGAGCGATATAAATTGCACCCAAGGCACTGGGACAGGAACTGACCCGTTCGGAGTTATGTGGAGAGGCTTCGTGAAGAGCTTACAGATCGACGAGTACACCTTCAGCTTGTTGCTATCCAACAAGACTCAGGAAGTGGAGCGACTGAAGTTGTGGGTCGATGGAGCAATTCTTATCGATGAATGGAGTTCTCTATCTATGACTGACCCTTCCGCAACTGTTTACTTCGGCTCTACGATGGACTTCCATCCTATCCAGCTGGAGTATCGGTACATTGGGAACAGCACAACGGCACCTTCCTTGTCTTTTGCGATCAAAGATCACCTCGGAAACGAGAGTGTCTTGGCGTTCTCGTCTTACGATGTCTTTCAAGGGACTGATTCATGGGTTGATGCAGACACTGGAGGATTGCTCAACATCATTGCGGGGGCAACAAACGCATCTTTGAGCCGATGCTTCGGCTCAGCGCTGACCATCGCAACCGCTGGTGTGGAATCCACTTTCAGCATCAAAGGAGTTGACAGCTATGGGAACCTCGTCGATCGCTGGGAGGATCCATGGGCAGTCACCTTGTCAACCAGCACTACAAATGAGGTTCGATTGCACTCTTCTGCGTGTTGTTGATATGCTGACAAAGATCTCCTAGATACTGAACCTCGCGAATCGAGTTTTTATAGAGAAACAAGAGTCTTCTTGTGGTGAATATGTAGCAAGCTATCAGACATCTCTAGCAGGAACTTTTGATTTGTCGGTTCAAAAGTTGAGGGCTGGTGGATTGATGGGGATGATTTACGACAACGAAGCTTTCTTGGGTCAGCCTGTTGACGTCAACGTGTCAATCGTGGACTTTCAATGGAATGATGGGCCCGTTCATATCAACGATTGGAGTTCAGATATGCTGAAACATAGAACATACATGTCAGACTATGTTTCAGCCGTATGGGAAGGCTTTCTTACGCTGGACATCGATGACATGTATTATTTCTACATATATGCAGGAAACAGTGATCAGGTAACTTTGACCATTGATCAAAAAGACTACCATTGGATGGGATGCAAAGTCATGCAAACTGTCTGCAGTCAAAGCGATGTGCAGGATCCTTTCGTTGGAAACCTTTGGATGAGTAAGCATTCCATTCATTCCATCAGAATCGAATACAAGCATCGAATTGGTGAGGCGCACTTGTCATTGAAATATGCATCCTCGTCACAAGAGAAGGTACAAGAACTTGAAACTGAGACTCACACCAATAACTTGTCTATTGCAGACCGTCATCCCATCTACAAACCTCTTCAATTCAGCACAACATGTCTTGATGTCGCCGTTTCCACTCACAGTGATCAGCTCGACAGCTTCTTGTGCGAACTCAAGTCTGTTTGGAACAGGGCTCTCTCTGGCTACCGTCGGTCTCGCCTCCAGTCTCTCACTGCTGCTTCGAGACTCGTTCGGCAACAGGAGATCTGATTCAGACAAAGACATCGTCGCCTTTCTTTCACAACCTCCGGGAAAGAATTTGCATGTCGTCTCTGCTCTGGATGTGACGAAAGGACTTTATGATCTCACATACACTCCTTATGTTTCCGGCAACCACACTCTTGAAGCTTATCTTGTCGATGGTGGGGGACTTTTTGCAACTTTCTATTCCATATTGAACGATTCCGCATATTCTCCATTCTTGGTCAGTGAGACCTTGTTGTTAGATGATGCAGCAATGACAGTTTCTGGGATGCATGAAGATCAATATCTTGTACATATACATGGATTCTTGCGTTCGAACACTTCTAGCAACACGTTCTTGCAATTGGAAAATTCTTATCAATCATCAAATGACAGAATGAAAATATGGTTTGATGGTGAACTTATAATAGGTAGTGTTTCAAATCCGTGCCAACATGAATTGACTTTGTTTTATAGATCAATGGAATTCTCTTGCTTTAAGCGTCTCAAGCCTATCAGGCACTTTTGAAGCTTTACAGGCGTATGAACTCTACGAGATTATGATCGATTACAAGTTTGCATTTCCAACGCAGCCAAGACTCTTTCTGTCTGGAGCATCTTTGAGTTCAACTTTGCTACTTGCATCTGACATGTTTCTTCCTTGTTTGATCACTTTTGAAGGTGATTCTCCTGCACTGGTTCAGGTCTCACCCACATACACAAGTCTCTTAGATTCAATGTTTTATGGGGAAGGACTTTCGGTCGCCACAGCAGGCGTGACGGTCTCGTTCTCTATTGCATGTCGAGATGTGTATGCCAATCCTCAGGATGTCTGCGCAGAGCAGTTTGCTCTGCAGATCACAGATCAGGCACAAACGATCCAACTTTATACCAGTGTGTTTACTGGAAATGTGGGCAACTACTTTGCGACAGTCGCAGGAACATATTTTCTGAAGATCTCGCTTGGAAAGGGCATAAAACAATTTGTCATAAACGTGAATCCTGGATCCACATCGAGTGCTTCATGTCAAGCTGATGGGATTTCCTTGACAATAGCTACCGCGGGGTTTGGAGCAACTTTCTCAATTCAGTCAAAGGATGCCTTTCAAAACATTCGTACAAACAGTGATGATACTTACAGAATCTTCATTCAGGGAACAGATAACCAAGTCTACAATGCAAGAGCTGAATATGCATCATTGTTGCCCAACACTTTGCTTGGACAATCAACTGTGTCTTACAGAATCTCAACGAGCGGAAACTACACTCTGAATGTTCAAAGCGCCTCTGATGGAATTGGGGGATTGAATGTCGCTTGTCATGAAGATGAAACCTTTCCTTCGCCCTTCTACATCGCAGTAGCTGCACCAAATGTCCAATGGTCGTCCGATGGTATCTGCCAGTCACAATCAGGAACTCTTGTCTCGAAATTTGCAAAGTGGAGTGGCTTCATTTCTTCACAGTACGCTGAAGAGCACACTTTCATCGCAAACATCGGATCATTCACAGAGAGGCTGAAACTTTGGATAGATGATGCTTGGATCATTGATCAATGGACAAGCTTACACACGACAAACTTGCAGGCCAGTGTCTGGATGGTCCGAGATGTCATGGTAGAGATCAAGATCGAATACAAAACTCTCGCAAACTCTGGAAGCATAGATCTGTCATGGAATTCTCTCTCTCAACCTCAGAGTTCAGTTCCTACCTCGCGACTGTTCTACGCGTTGGAGCACATTCATGGGAGTCCTTTCAGTCTTGCCGTTTATCCAGCTAACACTTGTGGGTCCCTCTCGACAGCCTATGGCACAGCCGTGTCTCTGGCCACAGCTGGGCTTGCAAGCTACGTGACCATTCAAGCGAGAGATCATCTTGGCAACAACGCGTCTAGTAATGATGACCTCTTTGTGATACACGCACGGATGCCGGGCCAACAAGATATCAGGGGAAGTGTCAGCTCTCTTGGAAATGGCTTGTACAAAGCAGGTTACATCCCAACCACAAAGAATCGTGAGGGACAAGAGTTGTTCGTTCAGATGGCCATTCCAGGAGGGTTGATGGCAACTTATTATGAAGAGTCAAACTTCACAAACCCAGCACGGACAATCATCTCACCAACAGTCACGTTTGACTCCAATGCTTCTCATCCCTGGAATCCTTATGGGACTGACAAGCAGACATACTCAATTCGCTACAGTGGCTTCATAAGGCCTCCCGGACAGCAGAGGTATACGTTCTCAACTGATCTCGGGGGATCCGATGAAAGAGTTCGACTTTGGATTGACAATGTAATGGTCATCGATCAGTGGCAATCGATCTCGACCCTCCAACCTACAGGAACGTTCTACATCAGCGATGGTGATATGCTTTATTCCTTGTCTATAGACTACAAGAAGGTTCCATTCAACGCCTCGAATGGTTCTCTGTCTTTCTACTATGAGTATCAGAGCTTGCCAAGGGACTCGATATCAAGCAGCAGACTGTTTCAGAGTTTCGATCTTTTCTTCGTCACCGCAGGTGTTTCTGGGTTGCAAGCAACGTATTACACGCTGGACTGCGACGGGGCTTTCAATGGAAGTGAGTTCGCTTGTTCTGATTTCAGTGATTTACTGACTTTCAGCAGCTGCTGGTTATACGGGGCAAGAGAAGGAATTTTCCTGGTCCTCCTGGACGTATTCTCAGAACGTCCTGCAGGTTTCAAATTTTTCTTTCGAGGTCAGATGGGCAGGGTTGCTGCAAATGGCAACTGCGCGGGACTACACTTTCTGGGCATCATTCGGAGAAAGCTTGAACGGAGACTACACCACAAATGATCGTTTGTCCCTTTGGATCGACAGCGAAGAGGTGATTGCTCAGTGGAGTTCTCTACAAACTGCTACTCCATCCGGCACTTTTCATCGTTTCGGTGATGACGAATTCTACCGGATTGAAGTGAGTTACAAGCATGCCTGCTCTACCACCCTTCCGACGCCTCCACGTCTCTTCTGGATGTACCAAGGTCAAACGCCGGAGATGAACTCGTCGAGCTTGATTGTTAACTCTGCGCCAATCCCGATACTTCCGTGTAACAGATTGTTCATCGCCATGACAGAATCTGAAATTAAGAGGAACGATTTTCAGATTTGGAATTCAGATTACTACGATGCTTCCTCACCTTTCAACGAGAACCGTCAGATTCCGAGCAGAAGAGACGTGTGGGCAGTTACGACTGATTGCCCCCTCCAACCAGGAACGACTGCACATGATAGGTGAGAGGTTGTCTGATGATAAACATGTTCTCACGGATGTTGCTTGCAGATGTAGAGGTCAAGGTGTGAGATTGAATTCTCCTCTCCTCGTACAGATTCAACCTGGTGCTATCTGCGCAACAAATAGCATCATATCTGGTGCAGGCCTTGTGATTGCAAGCGCTGGAATCCCAAGTTACTTCTCCATCTTCGCTTTGGATGCATACTCAAATCAGAGAGATACGCTTGATGATACTTTCAACCTTCGGGTTGTATTTGACTCCTCTTTCACAAATGACAAGTACAACTACACAGTCACAGCAAGCACAACCCCTGTCTCAGCCAATCAGAATCGACAGATGGTAGTAGACAGCAGCAATGTTTATAGCAGCTTCTACGAAGCCGAGTTCACTGCAACGATCTCTGGATACTACAACTTGTACACATCGTGTCTGTCATCTGAAGGCAATGGACTGTTTGCTGTCTATTTTGATGGGAGTAACCCCTTCCAAGGGTACAGGAGCACTCGAGTTGATCCAAATATCAACTTCGAGTGGGGTAACGACCCTCCTGCCCTCTACTTTGCTGGTGGCGGGAAACCATTCTCCGTTATCTGGACGGGATACATTCAGCCGAATTCGACTGGAGATCATTTCTTCATGGCAACCACTGACGGAGGGCTTCATATTGAGATTGATGGCCAAATCCTGTTAGACGAGCTGAACAATATCGCGTCAACCACGTGGATTAAGCAGACGAAGCTCGAGTATGGTCTGACCTACAAGATTCTCATCGAATATATTCATCGCTCGGGATATGCATTCTTTAACCTTCAATGGCAGTCTCCCGAGACGAATTTCCAAATCATTCCCTCCGCATCTTTGTTTCCCTCGTCGCAGACGCTGGGGGCTGGAATGTCAAGGTTGACAGTTAACCCAGGACAAGTTTGCGGATCTTCAAGCTCGATTGAGGGTTCCTTCATCACTATCGCGACTGCAGGGTCTCAAAGCTCGTTCTATGTCATAAGCCGCGATGCTTATGGAAACATGCGAGACACTTTGACAGACCCGATGTACGCCCGGTTGTATGCTCCTGACCCTCAAGCGTCTTTGTATCAACAATTTTCGGGCATGGTCGACAGTGGTGCAACCATCCATGAACTTGACACAGTCCCCTTCGTGCAGACAGCTTCAGATCCCCGAGGAAACAAACATCAATTCTCCTACGTTCCCACTCAATCTGGCCTGAGCGAACTCAAGGTGGATATTTTCCAGCTTTCGACTTCAAACGGATCGATTTGGGACCTGGGAATAGTGAGCGGTGGGTCCAACTACTCAGACGAGAGTGATAGTGTCGCTCTTTGCGAACCTCCTTGTGTTGGCTCAGGGTTTCTTGGGCGGTGTCACGCTGAATCTGGTAGTGTGAATTGGATTGAAATCTTATCCGGAGGTTCGGGCTATACCGTCGACTTTCCCCCTTCAATCTCCTGCGCTGGCAACGGCAGCGGGCTGGTGCTCAACCTGACGATCTCTTCTCAGAACACCTCCTTTGCCTTCGGAGGTGGTCTGACGGCAACTTACTATGACGACGCAGACCTGACGCTTCCAGCTCGCTCACAGTCAAACTCTCCAATCGACTTTAGCGTGACGAACTATGAGGTTCCTTTCAGCCTTGGCAAGGACCAGGCCTTCTCTGTCAGGTGGAGTGGACTACTTCAGGTCCCTTCTGTCAGGTGGAGTAAGATCGGAGCGAGACTGTACGCGTCGGATGAACGAGTCAGGTTGTGGGTCGCACAGTCCCTTATCATCGATCAATGGACTTCACTTGACAGTCTACAGACGTCGGCGTCTATCACTCAGAGAGCATATCAGTTCTGGGACATCCTAGTAGAGTACAAGAAGGACCCGAGCAGCCTGCCAAAGATGAACACGGGCTTGTCCTTGTTCTGGATCAGTAGTCTGAACCAATACCTGACTCCCATCCCAAGGTTTCATCTCTTCAGCTCTTCAGCTCTGAGCAATTCTCCTCTTGCAGTGCGGGTGGTGCCCAATCAGGCCTGCGCAACCTTGAGCATGGTGACGGGTGACGGGTTATCGATATCAACGGCGGGAGCGAGCACGTACTTTGTCATTCAGAGCGTGGATGCTTTCTCCAACTTTCGATCAGAGGGCGGCGATCAGTTTGTCGTTCGGATATTCAGTGACGCTTGTCAGGATCCATTCAACACGCTACAGTCATGTCAGTCTTATGGACCACAAATCAAAGGTGCCTATGCGGGGATGTACTTCACATACGGCATCCAGGTAGTCTCACAATCTGCTTCTTGTGCCTTGAGTGAAGGAAAAATACAAATCGACCTTGCGGGAGACCTTCAAGGCTTTTACATCGATTTCAACACCGGGGCTTGCGCGGGTCGGTGGACGGTGATCTCAGGTTATGATACCAGTGCTCGATGTGCCAACTTGTCTTCCATTGATCAGCTGTGGATCGATGGATCGTCGCCTTGCACTCCCGCCCTCAACGACCTCTTCTTTCTTACTATGCCCACCGTCGGCGCTACTCGATACTTCCCTCCCCTGGTGTGCGCGGGTTGCCCCGTCTCTCAACCAGCAAGCCTCCTGGACAATCTTGACGGGACATTGTCTGTAAGTTATGTCGCATTCCTGCGCGGTGAATTCACCGTCATGACATCTCTATCCCCTGAAAACGGTCTGACAGCAACTTACTACGACAACTCATCTCAAACGGGAACCTCCTACGACTTAGGAGCCGGTGACCCGATCTCTTCGCGGTCAGTCTACAACATCGACTGGTCTAGCGCGAGCTCGCCGCCGCTGCCATCCGTGTCAACCGCAAGCGGCTTCGGGGTGCGATGGACAGGATTTGTAAGACCAAGTCTAGCACAGACTTATACGTTTGAGTTCTCCTTGGGTCCAAACGCAGATGAGAGAGTGAAACTCTGGGTCGACAACCTTCTGATCATTGATCAGTGGACTTCTCTCACGAGCACAAGTCCTCAAGCACTCAGAGCGTTCGAGACGGCTGAGTTGCTCTATGACATCAGCGCCTTGTACAAGTGCCCCAACGTCTCGTCCTGCGCTCACTCTCTGACATGGGAGAGTCAGTATTATTCAGCAGGAGATTCTGTTTCCAAGAATCCAATCCCGTCCAACAGACTGCATCAACGCTTTGATGTTCCAAACGCCTTCGGTGCTCTGAAAGTTTTCGGTGGTCAGGTTTGCTCGGGGAAATCCATTGCGTACGGTGATGGATTAACTTTGGCATTTGCTGGACAATACGCTTCGTTCACAATCGTTGCGAAAGATTCTTTTGGGAATGTCCCGATGTTTACTGACGTCTCGTTCTCAACGCAGACAGTCGGCCTTGTCCAAAGTCTGTACAGCACGGGAACAGTCACGTCCATCCCTGGATCTCCGGGTTATTTTCTGGCATCTTACATACTCTACGTCGCTCAGGATTATTCTTCATATGTGAAGCAGACAGGAAACGATATTTCGGGGAGCCCATTCCGGCTTGTTGTGCTCCCTGGAGTGAGTTGCGGGTCAAAGTCAACGCTGAGTGGCTCTGGGTTGACTGCAACGACCGTGGAGCCCTCAGTGACTCAGTTTCAAATCCAGCTGAGAGATTCCTTCGGAAACACGCTCAACGCCTCGGCTGCGACAGCGAGCAGTTACTTCGTACGAGTCGTGCGGACGTCTGGCTCTAACATACAGGGCACCCCCTACCTACCTCCCTACTATGGCTCGACGGCGATCAATGAGCCAGGGGATATCCCAACCGTTACGGCCTCCCTCGCTGCTGTTGAAGCAACAGGCCTCATCCTCGCTTCCTACATCATCCCGGCCATCCCATCCCCAGCTGGGCAGGTGGCTGCTGCCAGTTGTGAGAGACGGCAAGTGCTGACCAGCTCCAACAGGTTCACTACTTGTACGCGTCATGGCTCGACGCTGTGGAGTGCAAGCAACGTACTACTCGGCTTCTTCCATCACCACATCTCTCCCTGCACCCTGTGACCTGTGCAGCCTCGAGGCCAAGTATCCAAGCAGCATCTCCACTGGGACCACCTCCACGTACCCACCGCAGCTCGATCCTGCTCTCGTTGGCGCCGGCAGGTACTTGTATGAAAGGACTCCCGGAAGTAAGTGACTGGATTTCAAAGCGTGTGCGGGGTACAGTTGTGCGATCTGGTCATCCGATGGTCGGGTGTGATCTCCGCATGTGAGGCCGTCGCATCCTGTCAAGGGTCTCCTGATTACACGGTTTGATGTGTTGGTTTGCTCCTTGCTCGTCTTGATTACGCTCCGCAGAGGCAGTTCCGATGGAACATCAACCCGAACGAACGAGTCAAGCTGTGGGTCGACAACCAACTGATCATCGACCAATGGACCTCCCTCGCTGTGCGTGATTGCTGACCTGGTCCAGCAATCTCACAAGCCTTGCAGGTACCTCAGCCAACTGGTTCAGCCACATTCCAGGGAGCAGGAGTCAAGTTTGATATCTTTGCCGAGTAAGTTTGTTGGTGGTTCTAGCGAGGAGAGTGACATCTACTGCAGGTACTACAGGCCACGAGACTACTATGCTGCTTCTACCGTCTCGCTCGAGGATACTGGTGAGTCGTGCCTCGTTGATCATCACGCCTGAAGGTGTGAGAGCAGGTTCACAAGACGGCAGCTTCCAGCCCATCGCAAGCTCACGCTTGTACCAAACCGAGGATGCCGACGGGTCTCCTACCCTTGTAAATTTATATGCCTGAAATTGTTGTGTAATAAAGCAAATGGATGTTATCAACTACTAAACTTTTGCTGTACATTGTCTGATGGCATTCTTCAATTCGATGCCAGAAATTTGCGGATTCGCTCCAGCAGCTCAGCTTTGACCTCATCAGGAATGGTCGCATATCCCCTCGGAGTTATCTCTGATACCAATTCATCAACACTCAGATCCTCTCTGTACTTGTCCTTGATCACTTCTGCGGCATCAAAGCATCAGTGCCGGGCAACCAGAGTTGTCCAAGGGACCTTTGCAATATTCCTTCAAATCATCACGCCAGCCGCTTTCAACTAGACGTTGTCGCAGGAATTCTTTCAGCCTTGAAGAAAGCGTGTCAATTGCAATGAGGCTTGCAGTACGCGGCATCGCGACCCACCTCTCCTTCTCTCCACTGTCCTCCAACTTCTGGTTCACACTGGCACGCACCTGACAGCAACATGTTAAAATCCCGATGCGAGCATCCTTGTCTTCATTCCACCATATCCTTGATCAAACATTCTTCTCAAAATGCTACGCTCAAGCATCCCGACTATCAGTTACCGCCAAGTGCAAGTTGACCATCCTTGCCTTACATCCTCCCCTTGTTCCTTCTTGCCAACCCCTGCGGCAATTCCACCTCCCTCCCCTTCCGCTTGTCCTCTCTTCTCACGCAATCTCACCCTCTCAGCAGCTTTCTTCTCCTCCCCTCCCAGCTCTTGCCCTCTCATCACCTGTGCGTCCAGCACGTTCCTGTCCATCGTCGCCATCTTCAACCGCCTTCGCCTTTCGAGTGACCCACCTCCCCCCATGGTAATGTGCAAATACACCCCTACCCCCTCCACTCGATGTTTTCACCCCACATATTTTTAATAGTTCAAACATGGTCAGTGACCCTACCCCTAGGATTTCCTCCACCAATTCTTCAGCGCTACGAAATGTCGCCGTGTCTAGTTCCACTGAGTCAGGCAACAGACTCGCGATCTGACGAAGAAGCAAGCAGCAGCATGCTCTCTCGTCTCCTCATTTGATCCCTACCAAGTTGCTTTCACTGGTATAGCATCTCTGTGTCATCACAAGAGTCCGCATCAGTGGGGTCAAAATTGTACGTTCTGACACAAGAGATTCGAGGGACATTAGAAATCTAGAATCCTAGAGATTACAGCGAAAGAAACAAGAAAGCTGAGAGCAGAACAAAACATGTCTATCTGGTATCGGCCAGCTGTTGATGGAGCCCGTGAGGAGATCCTGCAAGAAGGGAGCGAAGGCACTTCACCTGCTGCAGTGCAATCTTTGACTTTCTGGCGGGATTTTGTTGTACAACCTAAGTGATAGAATTTGCCTAGTCTGTGATCGATCAGTTGTGTAGACAGAACGTAAAGATCTCACGTGAACGTCGAAACTTGCAGCTGTCTTCCTGTAGAAGGTACAATACCACAAAGCCTCTGCTCAATGTTACAAGTTAGCCGTGGCAATCGTGCTGTACCTCGATGTCAGTGCAGGTGTTCAAGCAGATGCCGTTGAAGATCAAATCCGAATATGACTTATCACATTCCCAGAAGTGGTATGCACATATGGCCCCTGACAAACATCTCACGAGGAAACCATACAAAGGAGCTCACGTTTCACAGCAAACATGCAGTCTGCTTGAGGTGCATCCTGTGGTCCAACCCAACTCATGAGCGATGAGCCTCTGTCTCAGGTTCAGCGTCGTCAATTCCTCCTGCGGGCCTCACGAGCAGCATGAAGCGTTCACACTCGTATCACAGCAATCCGTTGAGTTGCTTGCCGGATAAACGGGCGTACCCTTCATGATCCCTGCCTGTGCAACAAATACATCACCAGCTCACCCCTTACATGTGTTGCATTTGATTCCATACCTGTACTTTGCCGTCTCCGGCTGTGCCTCCCAGCCATGGCTTCAAGGATGCTGGTGCATCGCCAGGAACCCATCGCCATCTGAAGTGTTCGAATACTCGTGATCAACCTGTCAATAAATCCTCGCATACATTACTTGTGGCTTGCACTAGGGTTGTACGGAGTCGTGATTTTTCCATAGTTCTAAGATGATTGAGAAGCCTGAAGCAAACACAGCTGTCACTCGTACCGGATTTGGCTTGTAATTCGCGAAAGAAGTCGACAGCCGACCGTACGGATCTGTCCATGTTTGCAAGGGCTGACAGGTCAAAGTTCAGATTTCAATACATCTGCTTTGAGGATATTACATTGTTGTTTTGTTCTCCGCAAGGACGATTGACAGCTGATCCGTCAGGATTTCCTATAGTGCTGCAAAATGTGATTTCCGCATCAGGAACTCTTCAGCCACTTCGGATTTTGAAACAGACCATGTCCTGACTGGAGATTCTGTATTCCAGACCGGTGCCTGACCTGGAACCATGTATCCCTGATTGAGCTTCAGATTTCATGCATCTTCGCTGACAGCAGCATTGCTCGCCTCTCCAAATACTCTATTCCAATCTCTGAGAGCATTCAGACATGATTGCTGTCCCAAAGAATCAAATGTAAAGAGAAGCATCTCATTCTCAGCGAGATAGTTCACCTTGAGGGAGCAGAATGATACAGTCTTGTATTGAACTTCTTGGAGAAACTCCCTGAAGTCTTGTCAAGGCCATGCTTTTGATTCTCAAAATGATCACAGTGGTGAATTACCTACAGAAACAATCTTCCATTCCAGTCTGTGCATCTTCCCATACAGAGTCATCTTTCAGCTGAAAACAACAGTTGACGTCCCGCCAAGAGGTCAGGGCCCAATCAGTTATCTGGCTGCCTTGGTTTTTGACTCTTGTGAGATCTTCTTGCTCTGGAGTGCTCCAATCGCTCCCTGCATGACCAGGTCATTTCTGCCATGACCTGCTCCATCCATCTCACCAGTCGAGCCAGGCCAGAATTGCCCTGTTTGAGGAAAGAAGATGCCATGCATGTTTTGATAATCAACTTGTCGCGTTTGAGATGAGGCGAGAGCCAACATGCTCCAGAGAAACAACGACCAGAGTTGTATCCTCTTGCTTGCTTTCATCTTTACTGTCGACGAACACTTCAACACTTCTACTTGTTCCGTGTCGGTTATTCAAAGTTTCTTGCCTTAGTCAGCCTCTTCTGCTTGACTTGAACAGGCAGGCACTGACAGTGGTCTTCCAGCATTCCTAGCACTGTCACCTCGGCGATAATCAGTAGTGCTGCACTCGTTGCCGCCTGTTCGGCCATGTCGTGACAGCGATCATACCAATGATCAAGCCGCTTAGCTGCCAGTTGAGATCAGTACGAGGATGGTAGCCTCCAGCCGGGTAGCCTCCGTATGGCCAGTGAGTCGGTCCGGGGCTACTGACGCCGAGTGAGGACCTGGATACAATAGCGGCCCCCGCCGGGCCCGTGGGCCCGGGCCCGTGGGCCCGGCCCCCGAGTCACGGCGCGGTGTCACACTGCTGTGATCGGGGGCCGAGCGGCCGATCCCCTCGGATGCCAGGAATGATACTATGATCATCGGATAGCCGCTAGTAAGTGACCGTACCACGTGGCGGCGGGCCCACGATCGGACGGTCCGAGGGTGACTCGGCTCCGACTCAGTGAGGTGCGGTGATCGGACGCGGGGTGACCGTACGACGGTGTGCCTCAGTCACAGAGTCACCCGGCGGTGGTGCAGTTACCCGTCGCAGGGCCGCGCGGCCGCCGGGGTGGCCCGGCACTGCTACCGTGACCGCGGCCGGGCCCGCCCGCATGCCAGGCTGCGCCCGGCTCTGCCCGGCACGCCGGTCACCGTGGTGCTAGAGCCGACGGAGCCCGGGCCGCGGGACTGCCGGATTGAAGCTGCTGCCAAGCCGCCTCCGCTCAGGTGCGGCCAAGGCGCCTCAGATGGGTCCTAGCGGGGATGCGGCCTGCAGGGTTGCGACCGGAGGTCAGGGTATGATGATGGTAGGGTGGGGCTTTGAAGTACCGGTGATGCTCGTTTTAGCAATGGTTTAGTGACTACCCCACCACCTCAATTCCTCAAAAGCAAGTTGTGGAAGTAGATAGTGAATGTGAGGCTTCTGGTGCTAGTACTTCATTTAATAGATGCAAGACTCCTACCCTCTATGATATCTTCTGCTGTAGAGCATTGAAGAATGGTAGGTAGGGGTAGATTTTTCGGGGTGGGAGGTGGTCAGATGGGTACTACTGTTGAGTCCCACGGTGATTCATGAACTCGGTAGTGAAATTGTAGATAAGCTTTTTCGACAGGGTGGGGTAGCTGATGACGGTGGTAGAAGTCAAGGCGTAGTATCTGCAAAACCAAGAATAGCGACCTATTACTATTTTACTTAGAGCAACATATATAGTTTTCATAAGGTGGTATCATAGTGACTGTCGATTCTTGACTCGGTTCGATTGACCAGTCAACCAGGTGGGTGGAAAGTACTCCAGGTAGGGTAGTCAGAGTCATGAATATTTGGTAGAACAAAACAGGGTGGTGTTTGATTCACTAAGAGGGTGGGGTACTGTGGATTGAGAAGGGGGGTGATCCTCAGGGTGTAATTTCATTTATGATTTGAACTCATCTCTCTTAATTTGAATAAAACAAAAGAATCACAATAACATTTTTGAAAATTGAATGGAGAAATTGGGGAAAGGGCTCGAAATTAGCCGAGGACAAGTGGCAGGGCACCGAAGCAGCGCTGCATATGCAGACGCAGCGAAGGGGATGAAACGACAACAACCTTGACAATGACTGACCTCGTTTGCATGTTCCCCTCTCAATTCTTCCATTACTTTTGTCCTGATGAAGTATCCGTTACATGATGTGAACGCTGCGCTTGTAGTAGGATGTTTATTGTCACGATTTGGTCATAGTGAACTTGGGACACAACTTTCTTTGATAATGCTACACTATGTTAAAAAGTTCGTATACCACTGCCATCACATTTCATCCAGAACTTCAACTTGATTGAATTTGTATATCTTCATTCTGTGCTCGTGGGTTGTGAAATTTGCTGCTGAAATCGAAAGGATCCCTTGTAGAATGTGACTTGCATTGTTTATTCTATTTTTGGAGATAGTAGTACTTTGCACAGCGAATAGAAGGCGGTTTTGCATTGTTGATGAAAACACATCTTTGATATAGACCAGTTGAGATATGTTTGAAGTTTTTCCAATGGTCTGAAGTTGAGTTTGTGCTAGGATCATCTTTCGTGCGTGACGGTTGCAGCCCTTAAATTTGTTGATCTATTCATTAGCCGTGTTCATGATTAACTGATTGCCGCACACTATGATCTAGAGGCTACTTCATGATTGTGGTTGAATAGATCAGTTTGAAAGACCTAAAATCTGTACAGTGATTGTGAACAGATTATGTGATTGATTGGTTTCTTAGCGGTTCGAGGCTTTCATACGCCCCGGAAGGGCTTCATTTCTGGTGATAGCAACAATGGACCAAGACGCACCACCGCGTGCCTTGTCCGGAAGCGTGAATCCAGATACTGAGGCGAATAGCCCGCGATCAGGTCTGGGTTGTATGTGCAGAATCTCCTTTGTTAACCTTTTTTGTCCTCTGTCATATCAGGCATGGAGGGAAACGATTGCGTTGATATGATCAATGATGTTCCTCCTGACTCAACATATATTATGACAAAAGATCATGCAGCGGCATTCAAAAAGGTAAGAGTGACTCCAACTTGAATGCTGGAGTGTGGAGGTGAAACATGATTTAAATTTGGTTGCAAAGGTCATGGAAAAGAGGCGCATTATTTGGTGTGACTATGCAGCCGCCTTTCAAGCAGCTTTGGAATGTGTCAACACAAAGCAGTCACAAGATTTTGCGACGAAATACATCCCAAGAGCCTTGCCTTTATTCTGCGGTGAAGGAGACGCCCCTGCAACTCCTTACGGCCATGGCCCTGCTGTGCCTGGCTCTGCTTGGGATGACTGGTGCGGGGAGTACAGAAGAAAGGGTAATCATCCGGCAGGTAATATACCTGAAGCCTCCGTCATCTTTTGATGAGCTCTTTGCAGAGGACCAATCCAAGTATTTCCAGACTGCGCTAACCTGTGCAGTAAAACTTGTGTTGGCCAGCTTGGACAGGGGATCTGCTGACTTGATAGATGCGCTTGATTGCGTCCTTGACATGAACTCGCCCATATTCAGCTTTGAGAGGGATGTTAACAAAGCCTCACATCGCGTTGCTTTGGAACTACATGCGGAATGCATGAGACTTTGGAAGGAAGGAGGAGGCCCCCAAAAGCGCGTACAGCTTTTAGAGAAAGCTCCTTGGAAGTCGCTCATCTCGGTTGCGAAATCGATCGATAATAGCGGAGAGTCGGGGTTGCCTGCAGAAGAGATATTGGACAGAATCGCAAAACGTATTGAAGATGCACCGGCCAAGGAAAGCTCAGAAGCAGGGCAAGTGTGCATTAATTTAATCCCACTATTCAAGAAAACTGCTCCTTTACACGGAACAGGGCTTGCGACAGTCATTCAGAATTCGGACATAAGGTGATTTTTCCTGTTGACATACACTGCCAGATGAATGTAACTTTCGTGCTAGGAAAAAATACAAGTATCGTTTCAAAGAGGCGTTGAAGCAGCTTGCCTTGAAAGGCACCAAATCAGGCGTTTGGGCACAACGAAGATCAGCGTTGGTGTCTCTTGAGCAGGTGATTCGCAACGACAAAGAATTCAAATCCTCGAATGGCCAAGCGTTATGTGCTTGGTTAGAAGAGCATGAAGTACTTGAGGATCTATTTGGAGAAAGGGCGCACGCCACGATTGTGTCGGAAACATGCAGTTTGCTCTCGATAATCGACATGAATGAGTATCGCATGAACATTGTGGTCGATGCCGCTTTCATGCACGTTGGCAGCGTCAGAGCTGAAGTGCACAAGGTTGTTGAAACTTTTTCTTTAATTTTTTTGATTTGCTGATTGCATTCGCAATGCTAGGTCATTCTTGCTATGTTACCAAAATGGGGGAAAAAGCAAACCATGATTGTTTTGAACAGAATCATGGACGTATTTGATGTTCCAGCTGTGTTGAAGCAAAGTGATGGCGAAGTCAAAATCGACACCGTGGCAAGCGAGCCATCCTCTACATTCTCAGCGCTGGGTTCGCTCAAGAGGGGAGGTTCAGATTGCCTGCAGGCTGCATTTGAGCTTGCAACTGCCATTTTTGACACCTCGAAGTTACATGGATTGTATGCGACAGTTGATGTGATGATGAAAGGTCGCGCTGTGGCAAAAAGAGCGATGGATGTTCTTGTTGCTGCACTCTTGACTCCATTCTGTGAAGACCAAGAAGTATTTTCCAAGCTAGTGCAAGATTCTCTTTTCCATTGTTTGCAATCGTCGTGGGGAGAAAGTGACGGTGTTGGAGCAAATGGACAAGGCAAATTTTGTAAAGGATACGTCGCCGAGCTCTGTTGTAACATTGTGAAAGATCCGAATACATCTCCATTGGCAATGAAAGGGGCTTTCGCTGTTCTTGTAGAAGTTATAAGGCTATTTCCAAGGTTCAATTTCGCCCAGCGTGGAGACAAAACCAGGGAGGCTTGCATTCATGGTTTGCAGAGTATGTTCGATGTTATTGGTGCTTGCATGGCCAATCTAAAAACTCTCAGTCAAGGTTTAGATGTCAAGGTCATGGAGAGTGATGATGTTCTCAACACTGAATTATGGACTAGACTTTCACAATTGAGATATTTGTTAGAAAATACTTCGGCAGAACATCAGGACTATAACATTATGTTAGAAGTTCGTCAAGTTGACCAGTTGTGGGAAGCCCTTGGAGGCCCAACAGAGGTGTGTTTGAGGTGGATCAGGCTTGCAGCAGACTCTGGTGGCATCTTCTGCAAAGATGTACAACTTTATCTATTTCAAACTTACATCTGTAAGATGGATCCATCGAACTTGAAGCCCCATGGATTTAACTCGTTTCAAGCCCTTTTCGCTGATGTAAACGACGCTTGTTCAAGGTGGGAGACAGTTGGGAGAAGTGGTCAGAAGTCTGGTTGCAAGATTAACGGTCCAGCTTTTGTTGGTCGCCGTGTACGTGTTCTATGGAAGGATGAAAAGATGCATAATGGCACGATTTGCCACTATTCACCGCCGTCGAGCAATAGAGATAGGGCTCAACGGCATACAGTACGATGGGATGACACCGGAAAGGAAGATACTCATGACTGGACGGACTTGCATGACTGGCATTTGTTAGAAGACGAGCTTTCTGTGAACATCCTGGCATACGAGATAGTCTGCATTACTGATGAACATCTAGAGGGCCTTGACTTCTTGTGGGATGTATGTTTCTTGAGTTTGGATGATGTTGTTGCAAAGAAAGCTCATGATATGATTGTAGATATCTCGCGGTATATGCCACATTCTTTTCAGAAAGTTGTGCTGGCAAAGATTATCCATATGTTACAGCAAGCAGTCAACGCAATGGACATTGATTCCACATACAGGGAACTCAGAGTCAAGCGTTGCTTACAGCTTATTCGAAACTTTCTCCGCGGCCACCTACGCATATGTGACAATGTTTTCTCCTATATTCAATACGCTACACAACGCTCTCACGGATATCGCGGCAAAGGGAAACCGATCTCTATCTGTTTTCATGTGCGAAGCAATCGAGAGGAAATGTACAAATCATCTGTTACCTATACAAGTAGGACAATTCAAGTGGGGAGTAGAGAAAATTTTGATGAGATCGTTTTCAAGGTGATCAACTCGAAAATTGCACCAAACAACCCACAAGTATTGGTTATTCATAACGGCCAAAGTATTGTTCGAGGGCCGCAAACAACATTCGAAGAGTTGAATATAACTGATGGAGCAGACCTCAAAATTGAAAATCAAGTTTATTGTTTGCCAGAAATATTGTTTGGAAACATTGGAGTTACTCTTGCGGAGAACGTTTCTTTTTTCAATTTATTGTTTGAAATCATGGGTGATGCACACTTGCAAAAACTGCACATGATACTTTGGGAAGTTTTGCAGATTTTGCCCTCCCAGAGAGAAGAAGAACAGAAAGTTATCAAATATAAAGGGCACTGGGGTGAAGTATTATCTTCGCATGGTAACATGTGGCGATCTCTTTACGTTTTACAAATAATTGAATCCGAGTTGGAAGATCCTGCTTGGTGTTCTGAATTTCTCAATGCTGGAGGTTTCAGTGCATTGGTCGATCTGATGGAAACTGTGCTAAAGTTGCAGAAAGCTCAGGATCATGGAGAAAATCAAGCAAAAATGCTTCGCTTGATTGGAATTCCTATCATTCTTCGTGTGCTACGCCTATGTTGCAGTGGAAAGAGTGTATTGAGCAACGGGTCTGTCCTCCCAATTCTAAATCGTGTAACCAGTCTGACCTGCGATATGATTATTCTTATCAACCGTCTTGAGATGACACAAAAGATTCTAGATGCTCTGCTAGATGGTGCAACAATCCTTGAGGCGCTGATATTTAGCTCTAGTCTTCAAAAGGAAGCAAAGGATCATGCCTTGAAGTTCTTTGAACCTAAATCTTCAGCAGAGCTATCTCATTTGTCTTTAACTGACTCAGGATTGCAAGAAGGCAGTAAGATGTCTTCCAATGCGGGCATAATTGTGAACAAGATTGTCATGCACCACTCTGATTCTTCTATACGAGCAGCTTATTCTAGTTTCCTGCTTTCAAGTGCTAAGACATCCAAGGAGTGGGCAAGCCAATTAGTTGATTTGATGACTGAATGTGTCAATGCTGCTAATCGGGACAGTGGGACCTGCAAGCAATTTTTTGCCCTGTTGACTAAGTTTTTTTTGGCCCAAGACACCTTGAACGAGCCAGTCAAGAGGATGCAGACTGCCTGTCAACTTGCAACCAACATGCTTTTAGTGGCGGATCGACTGTCTATTTGTAACCAAATGATGGATGAACTGATGAATCTCCTTCATAACGTGATGCAAAGGCCAGAAATGACAACTAATGTAGAACTCAAAAGTCTTGCAGAAAAATTAGTTCCCAAGCTCTACAATGATTTTTTGATGAGAGTCCCCTGCTCAAAAAGAGTGGGTAATGCGATGAAAATGATGACAAGAAAAGCAACTCTTGGTCAAAATTCTTGGTTACAAGTTGCACCTTTGTGTGAAACAACAGAAACGAGAGAAGCAGCATGGCAATTGCTTCTTATTTGTGTTACAAAGTATGCTCCGAACTACATCACTGGGCTTGCAGACATGATCAATGACTTCGCTTCAAGCACAAGAATCCCAGTCAAGATATATTGGAATCGATTAAATTCTGTCTTGAAGGAGGACTGGGAACACAGGGCAACAGTGGAAAGGAGAAAGCTGGCATGTGTGGGCCTTAAGAATCAGGGAGCAACCTGCTACATGAATGCGATGATACAACAATTATTTCTCGATGATGATTTGAGAAAATGTATACTTACCGCTCCCCTTGCGCCCGCCCCTCCCGAGAAAGCTGAAGAACTTTGGAAGTGCCAGATTTGTACATTGGAGAATGACTGGAATAACAGAATCTGCGTCATTTGCGAACAGGGCGAGCGTCCTGAGAAGGTTGATCCTGTTCCTCATGGAGAATTGCTCAGGCAGCTTCAAAGAACGTTCCGCTTTATGGTGGACAGTGAATTGCAGTCTTTCGATCCTATCCAGCTTGTTGAAGCATGCAGAGACCTTGGACTTCACTTTCGTGTTACATCACAGAATGACTCGTCTGAGTTTTTGGATAAACTCCTCGAAAGGCTCGAACGAGAGGTTAGAATTTTTTCTTGATTACAATCTTTTTCTGAAGTGATCGAACAGGTCGGGGGCAAGGAACACTCTGAGTGTCTGAAGTCATGCTTCCGCGTGCGGGTTTGCAGTCAATTAGTTTCTGTCGAGTGTCCTCATACCAAGCCTATAAATCCTGGAGTTTTCGAGAAATCGTTCAAGGTGAATGTTGAACGAATGGGTACCTTGGAAAGGGCTATCGAAGATGCTTTGGCTGGTGAATTAATGACAGGCGACAGCAGGGTAGATTGTGAGAAATGTACCATTGCAGCGCAAGCTGAAGCATTCAGAAATGGAACTACGCATGAAGGAGCCATCAAACGAGCGATGCGACGAACCCTCTTTTTGGATGGCGAAAATATGCCAGAGACTCTGTGTGTGCAGCTAAACAGATTTCAATTTCAAGGAAATGGGTTTGTGAAGTTGAATGATAGACTAGCCTTTCCCTTAACTCTTGATTTGGCCCCATATACTCAACCTCCCAAAGCTCAGGATGTCGAGGGAGATGAAGACATCTGCATGGACAATACAAGTGAAGTTGACGAAGGGAAGGTTGATCAGAATTCGAGCAAGAGTACAAATAGCGGAGAGCATCTGCTCTATGAGCTGAAAGGAATCGTAGTACATAGTGGACAATTTAGTTTCGGACATTATTATTCGTTTGCAAAGGATCCTGTGTCTGGCAAATGGCTCAAATTGGATGACGACCAAGTATCAGAATTTGATCTTGCCGAGCTTGAAAGTGAATGCTTTGGAGGCATACAGACCACAGTGAACAAATGGACGAATTGTGTATACAAGACAGAGAAAAGCGCTAGTGCCTATATGCTGTTCTACCAAAGAATTGAAGGCACCTGTCTTGAAACGCCGGTGAAGGAAAAGGGCAGTACTGATTTCATGAATGACGTTGACGTCGCCACCCCTGATTCTGTTTCTGATGCTGGAATGGAGGATCTCAACCTGGATTCCATAAGCTCCAGTGGTAGCGAGACTGCACTTGCAGGTATAGACGAGATTTTGGATACAAACGAACAGATGCTCAGGAGATCGTTGTTCTTTGATGATGAATTTAACAGTTTTGTCTTGAATTTTATCCTAGCTCTCGACAAAATGGGCAAGATATTCCCTAAGATTCTGGAAATGGCGATCAACGTATTTTATAAGTCTGTGCTGCATTCAGAAGTGCATAATCGCATGTCTCTTTCGCGGTGCCAACCTGGACAGCAAGATTGGAGCACCACGCTGAAACGGCTGCTTCAGAAGCATGTGGAAGCCTGCATCTTCTTATTAAGAGCTTCCATTGAAAAAGATGAAGGTCCAGACAAATTGCCATGTTGGCTTGAAAGTGCATGTATCTCGTGCCCAATAGAAGACGTGAGACTGAGCTACTGTCAATTGTTAGCTACGGCCGTATCCGTTTTGACTACAGACAAGAAAAACTTTGGCATAATTGAAGAGCTACTGGCTTCGATCAAGGACATACTGCCAATGATTGCACATAATTGGCAGGTGCTGCCACAGTTCGGAACAGTATTGCTCACCCTGACGTCGGAAAATCAAGATCTGATCGACTTGATGGTTCATAGGGACTTCATCGCTTACTTCCTAAATGTATTCTTATTGCATACCCCGACCTCCAAATCTGTGCAGGTATGGATGAATCTGATTTCTTTCTATTTGCTGACTCTGTTGTAGCACAAGAACTCGATCTGCTTAGGACCATCTGTGCAATGGATACCGTTGCGGTTGCTATCAGATTCGTTACTCCGAAGCGTGAATAACTTGCTCACGCGGCACACAGTCAATAGTCTGCCTAGTCTTACGAAACAGATGATGGCTGTCTCCTTGCAGCCTCTTCTGATCAAGTTGTGCACATCGGATCCTATGGCTGGTGCTATTGGAAACCACTCTTCCTTGCTGCTTGTTTTATGCATAGAGATGATGAAGAAAGACAGTAACGCAGCGATTCTGTACGACATGACAAATAAGCTCTTGGAGATCATTGAGAAGGATGGTGCAGACATGAACTCCAGATGTTTGCAGTCTCAGAGCTGTTTGGTATTGAAGGAATTGTTGGTGTACGATTGTCAGAAGCTAGGTGTTGAAAGCCTAGTACTTGAAATGAAGAGGAACAGGGATCGTTTGTTGAATATTATCTTCGACTCCATCCAATCCAAGCGAAGCAATCATTTTCAGAATCGACTTTCGCAGGTCTTTATACTTGCTGCAAAGAGACCAGAATTTCGAGGCTTGTTGGAAGAGCACCAAGCTCGTCTAAAACAACTTGCAATCAGTTTGTCAACAGAGAATCCGACTACCAACGCGCAGTTGACAATGCTCGTTCCAGACACATATGACTTCGAGACCTTGCTCAATGCCGTTCTTGAGGCGCTGATCAATGTGCAAAACCTGCATCTCCCGACGGATTTGTACGTCACGCCTTGCATGGCTGGGGATGGTCCACGTGAAGTGTTCGTGATGGACTCTGCCGTTCCAATGCGCTATGTTGATCAATCTCAACTGAACTATCGCAAACCCGAACAGAATGCGTGTTATGAGATAGTCAAGGTATGAAGTTTACTGATCTTTTGCATTGTTATGACTGACCTCTTATTCACAGAAAGTCGTCAATTCAGATGCCAGAGAACAGGATGTTTGGGAATTGAATCGGATCAGTCGTGGAACGCCGGATACCACGACAACTTTGTACAGAACTCTACCGAGAAATTCCAACGGCTCTCGTTTCCCGCCGCCGATTGCAACATGGCAGAAGCTTTTGCCGGATGGCTCCGTGGTTAGTGTGGACGTTGACGTGATGGCCCAATGGCGAGATGGCATGGACCTCTCGAGGCGCAACATCGACTTCGGCAACGTGGAGAACAATTCCTCGGATTACCCGCCTCTAGACGACATGGACCTGCTGAACAGCGGGAACAGGCTTGTTCGCTTTGAGAACGATGAACAGATTTCTGACTCGGTGAGAGAAATGCAGCTGTTTCAACTTCCTGTGAGCTGACTGGTAGCGACAGGCCTCGGACGAGGCCATTGCCGGATCCGACCACGAGGAAGGAGTGAGTGACGATGCGCTGTTGTCTTAAGGGGTGACTCATCATTCTTTCCAGTGATCAAGACGAAGGACTTCTCTGCGATGCCTCCGCTTGCTTGCCCTGGCTGGGCACAACAACTAGTCGGAGGCTTCCGATTATCCTCCTGCCCTCTCCCTTATTCTTCCTCACCCCCTCTCACTCGGAAATTGGCTGTTCTCTCGCTGTCCATAAGCTCTTTGCCACACCCCCTACTTTCATGTAATTTACGCGCTGGTCTATCGAACCATTGAAGAGAACAGGCTCCAACATCATTGTCCGTGTGACCGACATATGTCAACCCCCTTCACTTTATTGTCATGCTATACAGGAAAACCCTCGACTCTAGTACAAGTTGTACCTTCTCGCGACCGCGGGATTCTGTACCGACTGTCAGTCACCGTGAACTTCTTTCCCCCTCTCTCTCACCCAAAGATCGCCAGGCTCTTCTCCGTTTCCTGGACCATACCATCCAGGGCCGGAAACTCCAAACCTGCCATAGTGCGAACGTGAGACAAGACGTAGCAAGTCTGTTCCGGTTCTCACATGTCGTGGTCATCGGAGGACCCGTAGATAGAGTCAGAGTTTCCCTGACCTCCGTTGATGCCGGCTCCTCCAAGGAATCCGAGCATGGGGGCTGATGCGCTCTTGTTAGCGGAGCAGTGAAGTTTGTTTTACGATCGACCTCCCCTCTTGTTTGCTTTCAACACTCGAACTTTCAACACTCGAACTAACCTGCCAACCTGAGCGTCTACTGATGCCCCCACACTAACATGCATACACACCCTCAGATATTCATGATTGTACATTCATACTTGCATCGGGCCCCTAGTTCTCGAAATACTAAAATCACAGAAAAGTCTTATAGTAGCCTCAGATACATGGCGACAGCAAAAAGAAAACATTTTCGGATTAGAAAAGATAAACAATGTAAGAAGAGGAGTAAAAACGCAAAAAGACTGATAAGTCAGTGAAGAGACAGATGAAACTATGCCAAACCAACGCAAACAAAATTCAGCAGACAGACAAAGTAGATGGTGAGGGCACTGAACAATAGGCTTAGAAGGTAACACAGAGCAAGCAGGCAGAGCAAGACAGCAAGAATGATGCTAGCATGGAAGTATGGTGTTCATTCGATCTACCTCCGTTGCTGTTGCGGGCGAAGATGATTGGAACGATAGCGAAACGCATGGTGGCTCTTGGTGATGTGTACCCCTACCCCTCTTTTATTTATCGTTAGTAGGGGTATGCGAGAACCTAAATTTCAAGCCCGCCTCCCCGCATCAGGGGGTGCTCAAGCCAAGAGCAGCCTTGAGGACGAGACGAGACGAGATGAAAGTTCAAGTAGATGAGATGAGAGTAGATGAGATGAGAGTAGATGAGATGGGGGTAGATGAGATGTGAGTAGACGAGATGAGAGTAGATGAGATGGGGGTAGATGAGATGAGGGTAGATGAGATGAGGGTAGATGAGATGAGGGTAGATGAGATGAGGGTAGATGAGATGAGGGTAGATGAGATGAGGGTAGATGAGATGGGGGTAGATGAGATGAGGGTAGATGAGATGGGGGTAGATGAGATGTGAGTAGATTAGATGAGACGGGATGAGATGAGAGTAGACGAGATGAGAGTAGAAGGGATGAGAGTAGACGAGATGAGACGGGATGAGATGAGAGTAGATGAGATGAGAGTAGATGAGACGGGATGGGATGAGGCGAGACAAGAAAGAGATTAACACGGCAGAGGAAGGAGGTAGCGAGAGAGAGGGAGGACTAGTCAAAGATGTTCAGAAAGGAAAGGCTGGACAAGAGCTAGTTAGGAAGGAGGAAACAAGAAGAATTCTGTTAATCGGCCACAACGTCGAGCTGGGTGAAATTGAAGACCAACACCAAGCTATTCCATCAGTATGGAGGAAAGGAACATGCAACGAACGTCTAATGCCACGTTGCGTTGATCATTGCAGCGACATTGTAACTGTAGAGACTTTCCCACAAGAATGAACATGATAACGACGAATCCTAATGTTATCCATGAATGTCGGAAGTCGAGGAAAGCAAACAAGTGAAGCGACGCAGTCGTGCCCTCTCTGCACCTAGTCGATCCTGTCTCAAGGTAAGGGTAAAGAACAAGCTGAAAAAAAGCAACGACAGCAGGAGGAGGGAGGAAATCAGCACAAGAAGGTTAAGGGATGGCAGGAACAAGGTATGGGCCAGCGGTTTGGAGGATGCGGAAGGGAGAATCAGGGTTGGGCATCGGCAGTAAGCTAGGATGGAAGTAATGACATGAAGCAAGAGAGGAGGAGGAGGGGAGGAGGAGGAGGAGGAGGGAGCATGGAGGGAGCATAGAGGAAGAGCAAGTAGAAGCTGAGCAAGAGGCGCATCATCTCTGCATTCAGCATCTTCGGCCATGAGGCGTAAGGCACTATATCACATACAATGTCGGATTCGTATAGCGGTCAGTACTCCACGTTGTGGCCGTGGCAACCTGAGTTCGAATCTCAGATCCGACACTTGTAGCGCTCGATTTGCTTTTTGCGGTTGACCCGGCGTTACCGGGCCGCCGCCGCGCAGGTCCGAGGCCACTGGCTCCGAGTCCTGAGAGCCCAGTGATCGCCATGATTGTCCACGGTACCGTGCCATGATTTTTAACTTGGCTTACTAAAGCTTCCGAGTTCTGCCGGCGGCCCGGCTGATACTACCGTACACAGTACAACCTGAGAACCGTGATCAACTTCCGCGCGGAGTCAGCCTTGTGAAAAAACTTGGCTACCGTGACTGTACCGTACGGTCTTACCGTCTGCCTTCGCCCGGGCCACTGGCTTGCGCGGCCGCCGGCAGCGGGGGACTCGTGACTTGAAGTTCACGGTTGGCTTCCGAAGTTCGGAACTTCGGCCCGGCCCGGCGCCCGCCGGGGCCCCGGAACTTCAGAGGCTGATTTTTCAACTGAGTTGAGTCCCCAGAAACTTTTGAAAGTTCCCAGGCCGGCAATGCCGTGACTCTCGTCAGCGGGTAGGTAGAGGGGAGAGGTGCTGTCGCAGATGGCTACCTCTCTGTCGCAGATGGCGGAGCAGGGGAAGGGTGCGGAGCAAGTCTACCCTTCCTGGTTCCTCTCCAACTCCTTCCATGACCTCTCAAGAACCATCGTGGTGAGCGGAATCACGTGGGTCACATCAAACTCCACAACCAATCGTAACTTCCCGCACCATCAGGGCGGAGGGGCATGTGTCGTACTTGGCGTCCAAGATTTCTTCATTGTACGGCGATGACGTCATCGAGTATCTTCACGTCGGTTGCTCCTGCGGTTCCATGATCCTCTTGACGCAGGCATTGCGAAGTCACGAGATGCTCTTCTGTCTTGGTGTATGTCCGGTTCAAATCCTCCCAGGTCAATCATATTCTCCTGAAAACAGCAGAGCATGGCAGAGCTGATCCCTGAAACTTTCAGGTCTCATCGAATGAAGAGCTGAATGCGTATCAGATCGCGTACGAGGTTTGCTCATCTTGGCATTTTGGTCGGATCTGATTCGTTTCTCCCCAGTCTTGCTTCCAGCTCGATAACTCCGAGCTGCTGGTCTTCCACGATGGCCAGGGCAACGACGGAGTCGTGAGGATTCAGCTGACAGTCCGTCCAGCAGTCTATCAAGGACTTGTCTGGGTAGGCGAGATCACCAGGGAAGCGGCGAAGGAGGACGTTAAGAGAGCGCTGAGCATGCTCTATGTTGAGCCTCGTGACGTTTGGCTGCCCGATGATGTCGGAGGAGGAGAGCGGAAGGGCTGGGCGGTGGCATCCTACGACAGCGATGAGGTCGCGCGAGAGGTCTTGTACCTGTCGAAGTGTCAGTTTGTCTGTTTGGGCAGCTTCTGGCCGATCCTGCTGCAGCCGTTTGCCCCAGCAGAGCAGGCAGAGCCGCGCTTCGTCCTCTCACCCAAGGCAGAGCACGCGAAGTCGGATCACTTTGCACTCAAGGGGTCGCTAGAATCGGACCTTGGGACCAGGTGGGAGGAACTTACATGCATGCACTGTGAGCAACGCCGGAGACTGGCCCTAAAGCACTTCAAGGAAAGACTTCTACTCCTGAAGAGTGTGCGAAGTGATGGACGCAGGGACTCCCTCCTCGGACTAGAGCCAAGCTCGGTTGTGGGGAGGGCGAACGAGATTGTGAGGACGATTTATGTGACAGGATTCCGCCCGAATGTGTCGGAAGAGACTCTCAAAGACGTGCTGGAGGCCTGTGGGGAGGGGACGGTAGAGCGGGTGGACCTACACATGTCAAGGAAGGGCCACACGTTCGCTGCAATCAGGTTCAGTGACCTGGCCAGCTGCTACCGAGCTCTTCGGCTACTCAACGAGGCGCCTGAAGTCCCGATAGGAACTCTGGTGGTGAGGCGATTCGTCAAGGATGGGCTTCTCTGGGTTGGGGAGCTGGACAGAGGCATCAACTCGAAGCAACTAAAAGATTGTTTCTCTCAATTCGGTGAAGTCTGCCGGGCAAGAATCGCCTGTGACCACAACGGGCGATCTCTCGGCTACGGGATCGTCCAATTTTCCAGGCACTCGACCGCCAGCCAAGTGCTAGCGATCATGGGCGAAGAGCTTTTTCTGCTTTCTTCCTCTTCCCGTCCCATCCGGGTCGAGCCCTACGTGTATTCCAACTTCAAGACAGCAATGAGCTCCGCTTGTCTTGACGCAGAGATGCTCTCACATCCTACCAACGTCACTAAGCAGGATGCCCTGTACGAAACATGCATACAAGTTCGGAGGCTGCAGCTGAAGCAATTTGCTGAAGTGAATCTCCTTCGATACCTTCAAAGGCAAGAGAGAAGGGTGACTGAAGGCACACAGCGGCAGTTGTTCCAGAAGGAATGCTCCTTGCTCGGGACGCTGAAAGCCAAAGTTGAAAATTCAAGCACAGTCGGGGATATAGAGATGGAGGTTGCGGATTCACAGACACGAAGTTTTGAAGGTTCTTGCTGCCCAAAAGAAGAAGTTGAACTCAATCCCTTGCACTCAGGTTTCGTCCAACAGCAGCAGAACTCGTCCGGCATCACCCTTTGGCAAGGACAAGTCATCTGTGCCTTCACCACCTCTATCTGTGAAGAACTCCTGTCACTTTACAAAATTGAAGTCAGCAAGACTTGGTGGCGACAGGTTAGCTCAGAATATCATGAAGATCTGTTGTTGAACACTTGACAGGTCCTTGCCTTCAGTGCCGTTGCCACGTCATCTCCAGACTGCATCAACACAGTAGATTCTCCCTCTCCCATTTCTACTCTGACGGCTCGGCCAGTCGCACATGCTGGAGTGGGAGGAATCGATCACAGCCATTCGCCTCATGCCCTTCACTGAAGCGCTCAAGGTCTGTTCTTGCTCTCTTGGAAGCGCATTGTCAAGAGTGCGGGCAGGACATTCTCCAGAAATTTTCGTCCATGTCGCAATTCAATCTCCAATCGCTTGACGGGTACATGCGCACATCGCTGACCTCCCCAAGTCAAAGCACACGATCTCTCGGTGATAGGAGCCCCCGTGATCTCCTTCTCACTGACGCATTTCTTCTCGCGCAGCTCAATTCCGAGAGGTTCTAACGCAATACAACCTTGCTGCCGTTATGTCGGACTCTCCGAGGTCACTACAAGTTCACCTTTGTTGTGCTGCTTCTATTCAGACAGGATGACACGTTCAATGCAGGAGGGTCTACATCTTGGCGAAGACAGAAGGCCTCGATCCGCTACCCGAGGGCTGGTTGCGCGGCATCTCGCTTCCCTCCTGACGGGAGCGAGGGCTATTCCCTGCATGTATATGATACGACGAGAAGGCCTGCAGTGAAGATCATGGAGTTGAAACTTTGATCAAGGCCATGTTTCATGGGGCTTCTCTGTTTATAACAATCAAACACTAAATTACACTTTTGTACAATCCGAGATCATCGATGCTTCTCTTGGTGAACCTTTTCAGAGCTCCGAGGATTGCAAGATTTCCTAGAAACATTCATCGCAACGTCCTGGTGCGCGAGGTTCGATTGCTCGTCAATAATCGTCCTGCTGATTTTAAACTTGTCCTGGATGATTTCCTCTACTTCGTGCAGCTCCTCAGTTTCACTGACATGTAGGACCTTGAAGCTTGACTGTGACTCACACAGCAACTTTAACCTGTCTCGCTCTACAGGGCTAGCGGGCCCTTCTCGTGGTAGTGACCGGCTCTTTTCTCTAATGCAAAATCCCAGTATAGCACATGTTCCATGCCCACATGTGCATGGCACTGGACCTGCTAAACCACCTGGAGCATTTTTGCACGATTCGTAGCTATCGTCGTTTCGAGCCATCGGCGAGTGACAAGTCGTCATCGTTGTTGTGCTCTTTGTTCTGTTCTTGAACTTTCCTCTCACCCGAATTCTCTTTGACCTTCTCTATACCTCTTTGACTTCTTCCTTGTCCTTGTCCTTGTCCTTGTCCTTGTCCTTGTCCTTGTCCTTGTCCTTGTCCGCTCCTTCTGCCTACGGCTTTCGCTTGTGTGTTGGTTTTGCCTTCGCGCTTCTGCTTGTGTTGCTTGTTCCTGTTTTATAGGTGCGGAGGGGGTGGAACGTGTCACCTCGTTGGCCTCCTGGAGCTAACTGCAGTTGAAAAGATATCTTTTCGAAACAAATACCATGATCAATACATGACTACTCTTCAAATAATTCGAAAAAGTAGGCTTTCCATGGTTTGATGACGGGCGTTGTGTTGCTAGACCGCGTGACATAGCCTTCTATTGGTGTTAATTTGTCAGCAACCCCTCTGTCAGCATGGCACATGCACGGCTGTATCATGGGACTTTCGTGTTTACTGCGGTGTATCCGTGTGCCAAGGGGTCACTGGTCGTGTAGTAAAGAGTCGTTTATAATCATATATGACGTTATATAGTGTATATATAAAAATGAAAATACTAATAAAATTTTATCCATTGAAGAAGTCAGATGCGGTCACGCGGCGAGAGGTAGTGTGATCTGAGGCTGGCCTGGTTAATGTACTGGGCTATGTGGGGACGAGGGAAAGAAAGAAGGAAGGGGGTGCTGAGGGGATGAGGGCACAGTGGGGCTGTGAGGGGATGAGGGCAGACGGGTAAAGGAAATGTGAACACCAGCAGGGCGAGAGGAGGCGAGAGGAGGGAGAAGCGGAGGGAGAAGGTCGGAGGAGAGAAGAACGAGTGAGTAGAAGGGAAAGGAAGAGAACAGCGAATGAGACAAGATCCAGTTTTCGGTAGTCGTACAGTATGAGGCAGCTTCTCAGGTCGAGAATATGCACTCAACGACTGGGGTTACGATAGTGCTGAATACAAACCGGTCAAAAGGCTTCGCAGACCGATTAGGGAAGTTCCGTGAATTGAAATGAGAATGAAAGAGATACTCCCAACAGTCCGATGAGATGTCAGTCATTCGAGTATCTTGGTTGTCAGTCATTCCATTGTAACTATTGAGGTGTCCGCAGAGGATGGCAAAGCTGGAGTTGTCGCCTGTTCCCGGAGCAACGGAGCACAACGGTATCCTGAGCTCTTTCCATGCTTCCCTTGCAACGGTAGCGCTTGAGCGAGTTGGCCTATGTGGGTTTGAAATCTGGAGGCAGGATGAGGCGTTTCTGGAGTTGCTGCAGGAAAAAAGTAAGCAAGAAGGCGATTCCAAACATGTGGTGAGATCGTGATGTAATGAACAGGCGATGGCAAGCTGCTCGTGCTGCTCGGTGAAGTTCGAGATCACGAAGAGAAGAATGGTGAACTGCTGGATGTTGAGGACCTTTTTCATTGACAACCACCTCCCCCAGTGGATTGGATGAGCATGAGGGAAGACCTTTTCGGAGAGCCTGTTCCTATCTCCTTCATCGACAAGCTCATGAAGGATCTGTCGAGAGAGACATTCCTTTCCTTTCTTGTTCGAATCAAGGACCTCCTGACAGAATGCCTGCTCGTCCTACGCGATTCAAGGGTAACTCGTTCTCTGTCCCCTCCCTTGTCCGATCACCTCGGGCCCTCTGCTCTATCCCTGTCATCCTCATCCTCATCATCCTCATCCTCATCATCCTCATCCTCATCCTCAGTCTCTGCCTCGCTCATTTCTCCTCCACCTCTGCAATTACTTCTACTTCCTGCTTTCGATCATCCCCTCCAACTATCTCGTCTCCTCTCACGTTTTATTGCGCAGGTGCTGCCGCCTTGCCGAGCAATGCAGTTACTGTGTTGTGCTCTTTCAGAGGTCCGGGTGAAACAGATCAGGTTGAGCGAGATGATGGGTTGTATGGGAGGAGACCACGAAGGGGAACAGTTTGTCCGAACGATCATATCGCAGGCCTGTCGAAAGTTAGACTCTCACTCTGACAAGAACTTTGAGGCCATCCTGTGCCTCAAACTGCTCAACGTCTTCGTGTGCATGGGAGCAAACAAAGAGGTTTCTGTTGGAGGTCGGGAGATGTCGAGCGTGACGGATGGCAGGATGCAATTATCAATCAGTGGCTGTGGGAGGGAGGGGTCTCTACAGTCCTGTCGAAGTTCCTCACTCGGTTCAAGAGATTCAGACATTGTGTGTCGTTGGACGCAACTGCCCTCTTAATCTCGACTGGCCTCCACAACTTGTCGTACAACACCTCAATCACTGTGAGTTGATGATCTCGCTGCTGCTGCTGCTGCTGCTGCTGCTGCTGCTGCTGCTGCTGCTGACGATGATGACGATGATGACGACGACGACCACGACGTTGTTGACATCGATTCTTTTTTGTATGACGCTGGTCCATGTCAACAATGGTAGGTCCCCATGATGCAGCTGAAACAAATTCTTACTCAGGCGGGTGGCAAGCTTGTCGGAGATGGAATCGACGACTCCCCATCCGTGATGTGAGGGCGGAGCAGGTCGAGTTCGATCCGATGATGACGGTGTGTCAGGGCATGGATGGAGACGATGTCGGTCATCGGCGACATTTCATCGCACAACATGCTGATGTCTCGTTACAGAAAGGTACGCGCGCGCGATTGCTTCTGGTTCTGATGCTTGTGGAAGACAAACTTGGTGGAAGGAATTCTTCTTTGGAGCTCTGTGGTACACACGGATGCCAAGTAAACTTGATAGATTTGATCATGTTGAATATCATGTCATCTGTTTTTTGCAGAGAAGTCGGAGACTTGTTGTCTGACAAGGGAGTCCTGAATGGAGGGCAAGTGAGAGTTTATTCTGCATGTGGCAAAAATGCACCTCATGACATGTTCAGCTTTGCTACTCTTCTGCCTTCACCCTGTTGTTCTACTACATCTCCACCCGCCATCGGCTTGTCATGGTCGAAGCGATGAAATCTGACGCAGCTGCGGAGCAAAGGGGAGGAGCGGCTGAAGGAAGCATCAGAGGTGATGATGGAGAGGACGACAGTTGCGGATGTTGTAACGTGATGGAGATGAAAGTTATCTTTGTGCATTTTCAACGCTATGAATCTTGAATGCTCCAAGTGCTGCTCATGTTCATGATCTACATGTTTGCTCCTGCATTGCTTTCTTTCGTTCCACTCCTGACATCTCTACCTCTGCTCGAATCAACCAGACGAAGATGGGTTGCCGCTGGTCGTAGGGACATGCTTGACGTATCTTTCCCTGCTGCTGCACTCCCCGGAAGGGGAAGCAAGTCTTCATGTGCGATCATGTTTGTGCCTATTTATCGAAGTTCCTTATCTTGCTCTAACCTCAGTGCCACGTCCTCCTCCGCTCGCTCGTTGTCCTCTGCGAGGAAGCAGAGTTCGTCGCGTGCTGGTCAAGAAGCGCCAAGTCGACGCACAGGTACATGCTCTTGCGATGTGCAATCAGCAGAGGATTGATGACTCTGGTCCAGAATGTTCAGCACCGACAAGGATCTTGATCCATCTAAAGGTTACAAGGAGGTGTGATCATGTAGAGCAGATTTGATAGTGCCGATGACGATGTTTGCATCAGGTCAACAACTTGACAGCCATGGGGGTCATGTCGCAGATTGTTTTGAAGTTCATGTCAAACAACATGAAGCTTGCTCTTGATGTGAGTTGATTGAGGATGGATGATTTCGGCACTGATGGAGCAACCAGACCAAACTTTACGACTCCTGTCTCAAGGTCTGACAAAACTTCTACCACTGTTATCTTTGAGAGAAGGGCAAACACATGTTCCGGAGCAAAGACTTGCATCGCCATTCATCCTCAATCTGATAGCCTTATCTTCCCTCCTTCCCTTCTCCTCTTTCTTCCCTTCTCTTCCATCTAATATTCAACACTTTTATCACCATCGTCTTCATCTATTCCACCTTACACATCCTCTGTCTACAGATCTTGCACAGACTTCTGTGCTACGTCAAGAATTATGGGGGAAGTTCCAGCATACATGACATCATCGACGTCAAGCTACTCATTCAAGTTTGACATCTTTGACAAGCTTCTCGCACTCGAGCTGAGAAATCTTTCTAGGTTTGCCTTCGTCTGTTGACATACTTGTCACGAGAAGCAGTACAAGAAGCCATGGGCCCGCAAACTGCCAACTCACTCCTGATCCAAGTCTGTCAGCTGTGATCCTTGAGTTTCAAGTGACCCTCCTTTCCCTTCCTCCCTCTCCCTCTCCCTCTCCCTCTTCCTGGGGCTCTCCTCCCTCCCTACTTCTTCTGCAGGCTGCTCAGTTGATCAGCTTCCTCGTTGTCTTCGGCCTCACTCTCCTGCCCGGCGAGGAGTTGTATCCTCATCTCTGCTATGAGGTCGCCAGAGTTGGAGCGAATAAGGTTGGCGCTGCTTCTCCTCCTTGCTCCTCTTGCTACTCCTCGTCCTCGACCTCGTCCTCGACCTCGTCCTCGTCCTCTTCCTCTTCCTCGACCTCGACCTCGACCTCGACCTCGTCCTCGTCCTCGTCCTCGTCCTCGTCCTCGTCCTGGACCTTGTCTTCGTCTTGTTCTTCTTCCTCCTGCTGATAATGCAACTCTATCGTCCTGCTCCAGTTCTTATGCTCTACTCCTGAATGGAGTGATTCAGGTCTTCAATAAGCTCCTTACGTCCTGCACGAGAGATGGAATGGAGTGTCAGCTACAGGTGAGGAGGGAGAAGATAAGAGGAGGAGAGCA